GGGGGTTCCCGTGAGCCCAGCTCCTTGGCAGAAGCCTGGGGTCCCGGCTGCACCTCCTGGGACGGGGTGGTTCTCAGCAGACCTCCCTTCCGGGGGCAAGGCGGGACTCAGCGCCTCTTCAACTGCCCTTTCTGCTTGGGTCAAGGCCCAGCCTCTGGCTCACCGTAGCTGCCTTCCAGAGCACTCCAGGGAGGGGGCTTGTCTGGCTTCAGCTAGCACCTTAGCAGGTGGTGAGTTTATTGGTGAGCTGGTCAGTGCCGGGACTCCTGGCGTGGTCAAGCTCCTGGGTCATTCTGGAATCGTGAGCCAGGACATTTCGAGACTGGGGCTGGGCCCTGCGTGGCGTTTGGGGGAGGGAGGGGGGACCCCTGCAAGCTCAGTTTTGTGTGACGTGCTTGCCTCTCCCCAAGGCCACCAGGGCAGACGTTCATGACCTTCAGTGACAGAGGGCCGGCGGCCTCCCTGCCTGGTTTCTGCTTCCCTGGCTCCCCAGCTCTGTCTGTTTCTGGTTATTTTAAAACACACAACTTGGAAACGCTCTGTCCACAGCATACACCTTCTGCTTCCTTTCCTGGTGTAGGCTCCGCCATTCTGACAAAACCTCCCTGTACTCGGGGCGAGTCATCTTCTGCTTGGATTACATCATATTCACGCTGAGGCTCATCCACATCTTCACTGTGAGCAGGAACCTGGGGCCCAAGATCATCATGCTGCAGAGGATGGTACGCACATGGACCCCTGCCCAGTTCCTGGCCCCTTCCCGCAGACGGAGGTTGCAGGTGTTGGGGCTGCAGGTGACGGGGCAGCAGGTGAAGGGGATGGAGGCTGCAGGTGACGGGGCTGCAGGTGACAGGGCAACAGATGACAGGGCTGCAGGTGACGGGGCAGCAGGTGACGGGGCTGCAGGTGAAGGGGCTGCAGGTGACGGGGTTGAAGATGATGGAGGCTGCAGGTGACAGGGCTGCAGGTGAAGGGGCTGCAGGTGACGGGGCTGAAGGTGATGGAGGCTGCAGGTGACGGGGCTGTAGGTGACGGGGCAGCAGGTAAAGGGGCTGCAGGTGACGGGGCTACAGGTGACGGGGCTGCAGGTGACGGGGCTGAAGGTGATGGAGGCTGCAGGTGACGGGGCTGAAGGTGATGGAGGCTGCAGGTGACAGACGGCTGCATTTCACACTCAGCGAGGTTTGGTGGTGGGTTTGCGGTCTTCACCAGGGCCTCTCCCGGCTGACATCTAGCGCAAGATGGCGTGAGCACAGGTGGCATAACCGGGACGTTGCAGACGGCCATGCCATGGAGGCCCCTACCTGCCCGTTCACTGGCCCTTCGCCGAGGGCTTCCCGAGTCCCAGCAGCACTCAGAGCGGAGCAGGAGGTGGACGTCAGGCCCATGTTATAGATGAGGACAGTCAGGCCCAAGGAGGCCCGTGTTGTCTAGACTCCAGGGGAGCCAGGAGCAGACGAGGATGGGCCAATCCTGTCACCAAGGCGTGGGCGTCGGGAGGCCCTTCCCGACTGCGTTATTGGACATTAACGAAGGCTGATTGGGCGTGGACAATGTGGCTCTTCCGAGTTCAGTGTCCAGGTGGCCAAGCGCAATGCTGTGTCCGTCAGCAGGCATGGACGAGCTCGGGGGTGGCCGCCACGCTTGTGCTGTTAACCCAAAGACATCGAGGCGTCAGGCCCGTGAAGTCGTGCAGGTGCACAGAGCCCAAACAAGCCCCCTCTGCCCCCTGTCTCGTCTGCTCCTACTTTCCTTCAGAAAAGAGAGAAGGAAAGAACCCCGGGCTTGGGGGAGCGCCTCCTGACTCGGGGAGCGGGGTGCCCGCCGTTCGCCCCTTGCTCCCAGGCAGAAGGTGCCTGGTGGTGTCTCCCCCAAGGCGCCGTGCGGGCCTGGGGGCTGCGAGCCAGAGAGCCGGTCAGCTGCAACTGCCGGTGCCAGGGCCAGGCGGACGGTGGTGGCCCTAGGCGAGCCAGCGCAGGGAGTGGGCGACTCTGGCCCTGCCCGCCCCCGCCGCTCCGGGCCTGGGCCCGAGCTGACCCCGCCCGCTGTTCCCCACGCAGCTGATCGACGTCTTCTTCTTCCTGTTCCTCTTCGCCGTGTGGATGGTGGCCTTCGGCGTGGCCCGGCAAGGGATCCTCCGGCAGAACGAGCATCGCTGGACCTGGATTTTCCGCTCGGTCATCTACGAGCCCTACCTGGCCATGTTCGGCCAGGTGCCCAGCGATGTGGACAGTAAGCCTGAAGGGGTGCGGGAGGAGATGGCCTAGAGGCAGCCCCGGGTGCTCTCTCTGGCCTGGCAGCCCCAGGGACCCTGCTCAGGGCCACCCGGGGCCCAGGGAGCAAACACGCCCCCTGCAAGCTCTCTCTTCCCTGACCAGGGTTCCCGGCCACCCCGCGGTGCCGGCCTTGCAGTCTGCAGCTTGGGACACTCCTAATGTGGCTCATCTTTTCCACAGCAACAAGCTGTTGTGAGCGGCAGGCTGGGCCCGGTGTGCCTGGCCCATGCGCCCGCGGGGCGTCCGTAGTGATAAAAGAGGTTTGCTGAGACTGTTCCGCGGGACCTGGCACTTGACATCTGGGGGTACCCGCCGCCTGTGACCTTTCAGACGCAGCTCCTGGGGGCCCAGGCGGGGTCACCTGCCCGCCCCCAGTTTCCAAATTGTGTTCTCAAGTGAGCAGGGCAGCGTCTTTATGGTGCTGAGCGTGACCTGAGCTGGGCACGTCCTGTCCTGCTTCAGGAAACTGATCTTGTGCTTCTCTGCTGCCGGCTCTCTGCAGCCCCCAGCTCTTTCTCGACCCTTCTCCTGCCCTCTGCGTCTCCTGGCTCTCCTGCTGCAGCGCTTCCCACCATCCTCAAAAGAGGCCCCTGCTCCTCCTGCACGCCTGCCCTCCAGAGTAGCTGCGGGAGGCCCGGGAGACACTTGTGTGTGCTCCACTCTGACAGAGAAACCAGGCCAAGGCGGGGCAAGCCCGGGGCGCGCACTTCCGCCCGCCTCCTCCAAGCGCCTCAGATCCCGATGCCCTGGCCGAGACCCTGCCCCTGGGCTCCACATTCTCCCAGACCCTCCACTCCGGGGCCTGTGACCTCCGATCCCCTGTTCCGCAAACCAGAAGCCCCATCTCCGGTCCTGTCACTCCGCGACGCCGGCCCCATAGCCACTCGTTGGCCTACTTGGTGGCTTTTGACTCCCGAATGTCTCCCACTGTGTTTAGACTGAGTCGGATGCTCTCACTCACGTGTGTGCGATGTTCTCGCCCACGCACCTGCCCGACACCCCTGCCCTTCGTCCCTTCCCCTTCCTCTCACCTCAGAGCCCGCATGGTGCTTACAGCGCCCCTAGTTTTTCTAAGTATTTGACTTTATCAAATTGTCTGCTGTGGAAATGTTCCATATTTGCCATTCTGCCTTGTCTTACTCTGTAGAATCCTCTGAGCTTCCTCCATGCTGTTGTAAGTGGCAACTTTTCATCTTTCTCTGTGACTAAACAGTATTCCACGGTGTGGACAGAGCACATCTGGGCCCCGTCCTCTGTGGGCACTCAGGGTTTGTCGCTCTCTGTGGCTCTGAGCCACAGTGGCCACACGTCCCTCTGCTCTTTGTGATCTGTGTTGTGGCCAGAGTGATCTTTCCGTGAAGAGACTCTGCTGTGGAGTTCTGCTTGAAGCAGTCTGCTGGACACCCACTGTTTGTAATATAAAGATAAAAAACTAATGGGTGGTTACTGCTCAGCTTGTACTCCACAGCCATTTACCCCCTCCCACCACAGGACATTTGCACGTGCCACTCCTGCTCTGGGTGGCTGGGCACTCATCTCCTCCCACTCCTCATCTCTTTGTTCTCAGTTTCCTTCTGGGGAATCAGTTTCTGGGTTAACTTCAGATTATGCCCACGCCCACACACGGTGTGTGTCCTTAGTGCTTCTCAAGTACTGAAGTCATAAACTTGTGTGATTGATCATCTGCTTACCCTAAGAGACTGGAAGCTTCTTGAGGGCAAAGGCCATGTCTGCCTTGCCTTTCCTTTTATCTATCATCCTACTGAGGTCCCTGCTCACAGTAGCTGCTCCTTAGACACCTGTTGACAGGTGGTTCCCAGGTTATAGCACGTTAGGATGAAGCCCTGGGGGCCAGCATCCGCACATGGCATGGCCACCGGCCATTGTCTCGTGTGCCCTTGACAGCTCCCTCCAGGACTCCTCACGTTGGGTTTCCCCATCCGCAGGCACCACCTACGACTTCTCCCACTGCACCTTCACGGGGAACGAGTCCAAGCCCCTGTGCGTGGAGCTGGATGAACACAACCTGCCGCGCTTCCCCGAGTGGATCACCATCCCGCTGGTTTGCATCTACATGCTCTCCACCAACATCCTGCTGGTCAACCTGCTGGTCGCCATGTTTGGGTATGTGCTCGGTCACCGCTCCCCGGGGGCTGCTGGGCTGGCCCGTGCCTGCGGTCTCGAGGGGCTGAGGCAGAGCGGCAAAGGTCCACCTGTGAGGAGCTGGTGTCAGAGGTCAGAGGTCTTTGGGGGCCTGGAGGCATGGCGGGGCGGAACCGTGAAGGGCCCGCATTCAAGGACGAGTATCGGCTGTGTGTAAGTTTACTTGTCACCGAAGGCAAGTTCCTGCATCGCCCTCCAGTACCTTCAGGTCACAGGTTGCATCCACTCAGCCATCTCTGCTGAGCCCCGTGAGGGTGGCCGGTGGCTGACCTGCCGCTGACCTCGTTTCTAGGACTCGTTTTCCACAGGACTTGGTGGGATGGATTTGTGACTTAGAGAAGTTGATTGATGTTTAAATGTTTCAGTTTATGTATAAATCACAGGGGCAGAGTGAGGAGAGTGTGTCTCCTTGCGCCACATCCAGCGAGGTGGAGGGCAGGGCATGTGTCTTTGTTGCCTTTGACAAATCTCCTTAGTACACTTAGCGCATCACGTCTCCCATCCCCCCTCATCTTTCCTCGGGGTTTCAGAGACCCACTGGGTGGCTCTCGCAGGAGTACTCTTGTTTATGCTGCTCCCTTCAGAGAGGTAGTCGTTGTGAGCTTGAGCACCCCAGCACAGGCAGACACACATGTAGGCAAAATACAACCTGACAACACCAGGCCTGGAAGAGAAGCCTGGGTCAAACACTGGAAACCACGAAAGACAAGTGTGTTCTGAAACACGTCTGGTGTCACAAAACAAATGTTTAAGACTCAGAGTCCCTCTGCGCGGTCACATGACACCTGTAGACTGCATCTGAGGAGCAAAGGCTTTTAATTCCCAACTCGGAAAGGGACAAAGCGATAGAAGGACGGCCTGACAGGACACTGGCAGAAGAGCTGACCAGGCAGTCTGGAGAATGAACTCAAAGGGCCAAAAACCAAACAAAAAGAGTTTCAGCTTGTGGGCTCAAGAGGCCTCACGAAGACTCAACGACATGTGGTCCAGGACCCACATTACTGGGACGTGGGATCACTCGTGGGGAAGGAGCCCCTTGTGCTGAGGGGGCGGTGGGATGGCGAATGCCTCTTACTCTTTGGAAAGAGATAAGAAATTAGATCACAGGACATAAACACACAGACCTTTGACCCAGCGCGCTCACGTCTGGGAATCTGTCCTAAAGATGTGGACACAAGATATGCTGGTCATAGTGTGATGCTTATGGATAGGGACGTGGCTGAACACAGCACTAATAGCCAAACTGCAATATGATGAAACTCTTAAAAAGAAAAGTGAGGCCTACTTTTATGGATTGGAAAGATGATGTTTTCATAAATATAAAAAGCAAAAGGCAGGCTCATTTTATGGCATGATGTTGTTCTCTAGCAACAAAAAACAAGCCATTAATATAATCCAGTATATCTATCCACTCATTACAAGGACCACACATCACTTGTACAATTTTGGAAAGAAAAGAAGAAAAAGACCTTTGTTACATAGAGCCTGAATTTTCAGGAATTACGAAGATTGTAGATGAGGCTCATTTGTCGGTCAGAGACTTCCCTGTGTGCAGGGCTGGCAGGGGACACGTGCTCCTGAGACTGTCACCCACCGAGGGGCTGGGCGGCGAGTGGTGAACTGGCCTGACAGCGTCCAGAGATGTCCTCCCCAGCCGCCCTGTGCTGTGGCTACAGTGAAGTTTATAAATGTCATTGCTCGGCTTAAGATTCTGGAAGGGCTCAGTTTCTCCCCATTGTGTTCAGGGTCAATGTCAGGCTCCTCTGCTTCCCCACAAGGCCATCTCTGTCCTGATTTGAACACACCTTCAGGCTTGGCGCTTGTGACGGGCGTCCAGTGGGCATCCATGTAACTGTCCCTGGACAGCTGCTCTGTCACACCTTTTCCATCCGGACCTTCCCCTGCCTCACTCCTGCTATCATTTCAAGGAGCCACTTTGCTTAGAGGCTCCCCGGGTTCATGTTGAGTGATGACACCCATCTGTCCTGTCTGGAGGACAGTAACCTATAGAGGGCGCTGTGTCTGTCTCGGCACCTGGCGCTTGAGGGGTTTGTTTGATGAGTGAAGAGAGCAGGTTCGTTCTAGTTATTGCCTATTCGGTCACTGGTCAGGAGCTTAGTTCCTTGTGTTAAGCAATACTGAGAAGTATCAGTGGGAGTAACAGATAAGCAGAGGGCTCATCACCTAGACTCGTCCTGCGCTCTACAGAGGGCCAGGGCAGGATTCGGGAATCAGGAAGTTGAACAACACTATGCCACCCCAGGTCCCCAGGCTGAGCCTGCAGACAGGTGTGTGGGGAGCTAGTGGGTGTGGCCATGTGGTGGCGAGAAGAGAGACCAGTCAAAGTTAAAGCAGGTGGGGAAGAACTGGGATGATTTCAGTGCTAGCTCATCGTGGTGACGCATCCCTCAGGCTTTACAGCCAGCACTTCATGCTAAACCACACAGGACCTGTGTAGCAGAATTGCAGGTGTTTATGTCCACTTCCTGGCAATATCTGATCAATAATATACTTGCTGCTGACGCCGAGCAAAGAGGCTGACAGAACCCAATGCCATGATCTTTGATTACTTCAGTATACCTCGGCAAGGCTGAGAGTGAAGGGTTCGGAACCTTACTGAGGCCATGTGCTATGAGCTGCTCCCAGATCCCTTCTTCAGGACGATGCACAGTGGTGTTCTCTCCTCCATGTCCCTATCGTGAAATGATGGAGCTCAAGCCCCGGGCACCTGGGCCAGCCTGCCGTTGACAGCTCAGCGCTGGCGGCCCTCGTCACATGCGGTCTGGCCTGCCAGTGTCCACTCAAGGCTTGGATGCAGGTCTCCTCCCCATGGGACCTGTCCATGGCACCATGACCCAGTCACGCCGTTCGGGGAGTGAGCATCACAACTGGGGGCATGCCTTTCTTGGGGGAGTTTTCCAGAAGATTCTTTGCTCACGTCGTGGCCCCTTGTGATCCTCAGGCTAAATTGTCAGAAAACTGGTTCTGATAGTTGTTTCAGTCGTCCTTAGTCAGCTCTGGAGCTGGAGTCCAGCGTGACCCTGTCTGACTCCACAGCAAAATACTCCACCATGCAACAGCAGCCTCGCCATACACCATGGAACCTCAACAGCCACACCACAGCTTCGTGCACAGCCGTGTAGTGTACACTGGGGATTTTGATGCACCGTTGGAGTGCTGTCAGGATGACATTCAACAGGAGAGGACATAGGTGTATATACACTGTGATTATTCTACATTTAAGATGCGGATCACAGGTCTATGTTCGTGTCAGCAAGTGACTCTGGGTCATCCTAACACAGGGCCACTGCCTGGAAATAATTCACCCTCCGTCCTTTTGAAAAGAACTCAACCAAAGCCCCGATCTAGGATAATTTCTAAGAATCAAATATTGTTTTCAACCTGAGGAGTAATGTATGCTTATTATGAGTATGCAGAAAAGGAGAATAAAGAAGGTCATCACCTGATGCAGCCCACGGATTTGGGTGTTGCTGCAGCTATCTACGGGCGATGATCGAAATGGGGTGGAAAATAACAGGCAGAGCGTAGTGAATGGAATAATAGCGGTTACTATAATAATAGTCATTGGTGCTTTGCCGCGGAGGCATACCCCGTGTCTCCACGCGTCCCCTGTTTAGTTATTAATCATGTGTGGGTAAGGACATCTTGATTATTATCATTTACAAATCAGGAGTTGGAGGCGGAGAGGTTAAGGAAGGCTATGGGAATGTAAATATGAATATAACAATACGATATATGATTAACTGCATATACATATATGTACATATTAATAGAACATACTTTTACTGATTGATCAAAATGACTCATATAGAAGCCCACCTATATTATCATAAAACATGACACTATAATATCATCCGCATGAAAGGCTCTTTATAAAGGGCCATGTGCATGCTCTGGGGTGTTACTGTGGCTGGGAGTTGGGGTGTGGTGAGGATTAGCAGCAATCAGTAGAGGTGACATAGATCCACTGGACCCCAAGTCTGAGGTCCAGGCCTGACCAGGAGGAGATGTGGAGAGCTCAAGCTGTGGGGAGACCCCTTGAGTGCAGGGGGTTCTTGGGTTGGCAGGGACCAGGCTGCGAGTGTCTTTCATGCCAGGCTCGAGGTGCCTATGCCAACTTGCCAGGCAGGTGCTGGGGCCTTGACTGAGGTGAGGTGCCATCCTTGCTGGGTTCTGCGCTGGCGGCTAACAGCTCACTGGCCTGCCGACCACCTTGTCTTCTGTGGCTTTGTCCTTGCTGTTCGGATGCTGGAAACACTAGAACAGGACTGCTGGGCCAGTTGGGGGCGAGGGTCAGGAGCCAGAGTGGGGACGGCTGTGGGAGCAGCCAGAGTGGGGAAGGATCACACTGGGAAAAGCGTGGAATCTGTGGGAGGCGTGGAGAGTGCATCCTGATTTAAATCTAGCCGCTAAGTTCCTTGTATTTTCCATTGATTCTAAAATTCTGCCATTGTTTCAGCATCTTCTTTGTGAAAATTTTGCAGACTTTTCATTCTATTCTGTTGATGGGTCTTTTTCTATTTTGGTTTTTACTACCAAATGGTTTTAATTACTGATTTTTTTTTTATCATGTTAACATCTGCTGTATGAGTCGCCTCATGATTCTGATTCAAAACTTTCCAGGCTTTTCTTGTAGATTTAATCATAGGGAGGGGTCAGCGGCTCATCTGAAATCCTTGACTCTCCCCCTCAACACCCCTGATAAATGTCGTGAATCTTGTGAATTTCATTGTGATGATGTTAATTTTGTAGACCCATTTAGGGGAAACCAGCAGCCTAAAAAAGTCATCTTAACATGCGGAAAAATGATGCGATTCATCAGTACACATCGCCCTCAGTGAACTTTATGGCTTTATTCACACAGAGCTGGCAGACCTCTTTTCTAGTTTTTTCTGGCCACTTGTGGCTGTGAGTGAACTTTTGTCTGTGATGCATTTTTTAACTACATTTTATGCGGAAAGACTAGTCAGGGTTTTCTCAGTTAGTCTGGAGCAGGTTTCCCTCCTGGATTCTCTTTTCTTCCCTCCTTTTGCGTCCCTCACGCCACGGAAGGGTCCTCTTATTTATTTATTCTCTTCTTTTTCTAATGAAATAAAGATGTTGAGTGTTGCCAGACTCTCCAGCGGTTGACGTGATATTTCCCCTGTGATCTGCGCTGCGTTAGAGGGACGATGACTCACACCAGCGTCTGCACATGTCACCCTCCTGCTCTCTGGTCTGCGCTGCTGCTCTCGTTTGGGGAGAGGTAGTCGAACCCTAAACATCTGTGATCCCCTGGCAGCATCTCTGGTTCAGCAAATTTCTGAAAGTCTTGTCTCTAGAGGGCCCTCCCCCACCCCCCCGCCCTGCTCCCCTGGGGCGCCCAGCAGCCTTGGGTTTCCGGTGACCACCCGCTGGGCGGCTGCAGGGAAGGTCCGCTAGTGCCCTGTCACTGGGGCTGTAGCGTCCAGGGGAGCGCTTCCGCCCCCCTCGGGAGTCTGTGGGCGCGTGGGAGTGGTGGGCCGGAGCCCCAGCGCCGTGAGTCTGGGGATGAGCTGCCTCAGGTTGGGTTTGCCGAGGGTTGTTTGTGTCCTTCTCTGTAGAGCCCAGTGTCTTTTCGACCGAGTGGAAAGCCGCCTAGAGAACATAGCAATTACTTGGCAAAGTGTTCGAGGCAGTGCTTGGTGACTAGCCTTTCCTGGAGAAGTCCAGCTGATTTGAGAGAAAAAAGAACAACCTGGAAGCAGGTGTGGGGAAGGTGGACTCGGTCAAGAACCCTGACGCTGGCCGCCCCGAAGGTGCGGGTCACCAGAGCTGCTTCGGGGCGTGACTGCCCAGCATCAGCCTGGCACCCACCTGCCTGGGATGTTTGCCTGCGGCTGGACCCACCTACCCCCCCCAGTGGGGAGGAGGGGGGCTGCTGTGGCAACGAATCGTCCTGGAGAGCCTCCAGGACGGTGCTGGAGGTGGGTGGCGTGAAGCAGACAGGTACTAGCGCCCTGCTTCATGAGCACTGGTCTGAACCCCCAGACTAGGCACTGGGGTTTTCTGTAAGGGCAGCTGGGGGTGTCCCTGGGGTCGGGAGCAGTGTGGGGCTACTATACCCACCCTGTCTCTCAGCTTCGTGCAAACAATTCCCAGCCCCAGAGACGGGTGTTGGATTGGGCTCTAGGGGCTCCGCTGACTGATCCTCATCACAGACGCTGTGCCAGAGGTGAGGCGTCTTCACTGCCTCTGAGAGCAGCTGAGCCAGGAGGCAAATCTCTTCCCACTTGGGCCCCTCTGGGCCCCAGGTCCACTCTGAGCTCTGAGGGGGAAGGAGGCCCGCTGGCCCGGAGAGAACACAGCCCCAGCCCAAGCACCCCGGATGCTCTCCCTTCCCAGGAGCCATACTGTCGTCCCATTTGGTGGCCTCGAGGACGCCTGACGCGTTGAGATGGCTGCTGCTGCTTTTCACAATGGCGAGTCGGCTTTCACATGTGGTAGGGCAGGCGAAAGACTCCATTGTTTTTTCAAGATGTATTTATTTATGCACACAGAGCTGGGGTGCAGGCCAGAGGCTCAGGGGCGGCGAGAGTCTTCACCAGAGACAGAGTGGGGAGCAGAACAGGCAGATCATTGAAATACATTGCTGAGGGAGCAGCGGGCGGTCAGGAGAGGTCTGCCGCGCCCTGGGGGTCACCTCTGGGGCTGGGATCGGACTCAGCTGAAGTGGCGTCAGCTTCTCAGTGCTGTGCTGTAACCCGCTGCGCCACCAGGGAGGGCCAAGACTCCATTTTTGATGAGATCAGTGAGATTTTAAGACTCCTCGGGGCTATAATTGGAAGGGGGATACTTGTCCCGGACCACATCGTGAGCCGTGACTTCTGGCCATTTTCTCCCCTGGGCCTGCCCCGTCCTCTCCCCTCGTGACCACAGCACCCGCGGTAGCCGCAGGGCCGCGAGGCCAGGGAGCGGCCGGAGTCAGCCTCGGCCAGCAGACCCAGGGATGCCGGTCCGCGGTGCACTCGTCTGCTCCCACGGCCCTCGCTGTTTGGCACCGAGGAATCTCCCAGGTCGAGCTGACCCAGCGTCAGTCACGCACGTGACGGGTCACAAGCCCAGCACAGGTGCTTCGCAGAGCAGAGTCAACCCACGCTCCTCCCGCCCCGTGAAGCCCAAGGCTCCGAAGAGGCGCTTACTGCCAAGCAGAGCCCAGGACCGGCGTGGACACAGGTCCCCGCTCACCCGTAAAGCGGAGAAGGGCGGCACCCGCTGCCACCCCAGGCAGCAGCCCCCCTCCGCCGCGACACTCCCCCCTCCCGGCGGCTCAGCAGCGGCCCTGTGCTCCATCTTCTCTCGGCTCAAATGGCCAAATTGATCGCAAAGAGCCCGGAGCAAGCGTGAGAGCTCAAAACAGCCGTGTCCAGTTCCTCTGCTTGGCCAGCTCTCCCGCCCTCTACACATGTCCAGAGTGTGGAGCGCCGAAGGCATCTCCGCCCAGGATTTGCGTAGCCGAGGCCTTCAGAGGCCTCGCCGCGCCCCCTGGCCCCCGCGAGGCTGCTGGGCCCTGGGCACGCAGGCGTCTCGGCAGGCTGGGCTCACAGAGGGCGGGCCGCCTCGTAGCCCAGCCGGACCCGGTGGCTCCACGGAGCAGGAACGCGCGGCGGGTGCAGGCGGGCGAGGAGAGTGGCGGGCTCCCGCTTCGTCCCTTCTAGTTGGGCGACTCAGCCCACCCGTTCGCCCTGGCTCTGCCTCAGTTTCCTCCCTTTCATTGCAGGTGACGGTCGGCAGCCTACAGGGGCTGTTTTCAGACTTAATTATTATAAGGCCGCTGCTCGGAAGAGAGGCTGGTCTATAGTAAGAGCCAGCTGTCTGACCGTCATGGGTGGGCTGGCGCTGACAGCCCCCGGCCTACTGGGACAGTTCCCCAGCCAGCAGGCCCTTTTCCCGGGATGTCAGGAATGCGTGTCTGTTGCACAGTGTTTGGGACACAGGTAGAAGGGCGGGGGCGTGAGGCCGGCGGCCCTCTGACGTCTTCTCCCGCAGGCTGTGTGGGTGTGGAGCCTGAGGAGGCCCACGATGTTGGAAGCACACGCGTGAGCCTGATTATTTTCACGTGACATATAAGGATGTTAACACAAAGGTGGGCCACAGCGTCCTTTTAGTGACCGTCTAAGTCATCGCCTCATACTGACTAGCTGTAACGTGGGATCCATTTTCTGAGTGTTGAACGTTTGGTGACTCTGGGGTGAGAGGCGAGAGCAGCTGTCACCGTGCACACGTGTGCGTGTGCACGCGTGTGTGTTTCTCTGCTCAGTCCTCCCTCAGGCTTAGGCCACATGTGCAGAAGTCACCATCGGTGAGCCAAAGGGATGAACATTTTTGAGGTCCCTGATACATATCAGCAAACTACTTTTGCAGACTGATACCAATCCAGCTCCTCCTCGAGGCCCCCCAAGTATGCAGGGGGGGACGTTCTTCCTAAGAAAGCAGACATCTTGGCCTCATTGCATTTAACACAACAACAGATTCGCGAAGAAAGAATCCCTGGAAGGTCTCGACAGTGGGTGGTGCACGTGTGTGCGTGTCACGCGCGTGTGGCGTGAAAACACTACACAGACAAAAGCCAGCTTCAGGGTGCCAGCTGGGGGAGAAGGCCCGTGCCGGGCTCCTCCGGGCCCGCGCCAGGTGGCCCCCCCTCCCTGCGGCCCCCATTACGGGCTTAATACGGGCACGGGCATGCGTGGTGACCAGTGACGTGTGGGGTCTTCTCTGCTGCAGCTACACGGTGGGCATCGTGCAGGAGAACAACGACCAGGTGTGGAAGTTCCAGCGCTACTTCCTGGTGCAAGAGTACTGCAACCGCCTCAACATCCCCTTCCCCTTCGTGGTCTTTGCCTACTTCTACATGGTGGTCAAGAAGTTCTTCGCCTGCTGCTGCACCAAGACAGACACGGAGTCCTCGGCCTGCTGTGAGTGGCCCCCGACCCGAGCTGGCGTCCCCGGCCGCTCCGAGTGGCCCCTGTCGGGTCTGGCCCGAGGCCCTAAGGAGGTCAGGGAAAGGCGTGTGGGGTCCCCGGCAGGAGGACCCAGGCGACTCCCCAGCGCTCCCCGCTGTGGCGGGCTCTGGGCGGGGGGATGAAGCGAGCCCTGCCGGAGGCCTGCCAGCCTTTCTCTGGGCTCTGGCTGGCCGCGCTGATGATAACGTAAATCACATGTCCAGCGAGCAGGACCCGGGGGCGGGGTCAGACAGGCCTGCGGCTGCCCTCACTGCTTCCTTCATTCTGAAGGCAGCGGCTCTGACTCCGGGAGGCCGGTAAGGTCGTGCCTAGGAAAACAGCAAGGCGCGCCCGGACGCTGTGGGCCACAGTCCGTACACTAACCGGCCCAGCCACTGCCCCCCGGGGGAGGCCCCTCACAGCCTCCCCTCAGCCAGGAGCATGTCCACAGGGCAGGCCTTTGTCTCCCCTCGCTTTCATACCCCTCTGCCCACCCGCCGGCTGCTGCTACTGACCCTTCGTGGGCTGCAGCACAGGGAGGGAGGCGGGACGGAGCACACAGTCCTTTCTAGAAGCTGGAGCCTTGTCCTATGCCGGTGCCAAGCGCCCTGGCTGGTGCCTGAGAGCTGGGCCCACGCAGAGTGGATGCTCGGCGGGGCCTTCAGCGGGCGGGACTCTGGCTGGTGCTGCTAAGCTCAGCTGCACGACTGGCTGTTTCCCTCCCACCCTCCGAGCCTCTTGTCTGGGGGTCCACGCGGCACAGATTCTCCCCGAGGGCTCCACTCCTCCTGGAGGGAGGCGGTACGCTGGGGGGGTCAGCTTCCTCCTTAGCCCCACTGAGGCCTGGGGTACCAGACCCTTTTCGTCCCCCTTCCGTGGGAGCTGGGAACGCACCTGCGATGCTCAGTGGACAGACCAGACCCACCCGCTCCTCTGGCTGCAGGGACCCTCCCCGGGCCGCAGGGACCCGAGCCAGGGCTGGAGGAGCCTGCGAGCCCCCGACATGTCCCAGCCCCAAGGAGACGGGCCTGGTCTCATCGCTGGGAGGTCGGGACCCAGAGGCCGCGGCTCGCCCTCAGCCCGGGGACATAGGTGGGGGGGAGGGGTGCAGAGGCAGGCTGACTCCCCGCCAGGCACAGGTGGGCCTGCGGACGTCAGGGCTCCGCAAACACCTTTGACTTTCTTTAAAATCAGAGTGAAGGCGTGAGCCTAGGTCGCAGGAGGTGGACTGGTATGTACTTGTCTCTGTGCCAGCCCAGGCAGAAAATACCAGGAGGCTTTTTTGGGGGGGGATTTTTTGAGTCAATTTTTAAAGAATCCCATTGCTTCTTATGGCGGTGGCGTGACTGACAGCTCTGGACTCGCTGGAGGGCTGCAGGTTCACCTGGCCTCACGCCCCTGGCCTCACGCCCCCAGCCTCATGCCCCGGGCCTCATGCCCCCGGCCTCACGCAGACCGGCCTCACGCCCCCGGCCTCACACCCCCGGCCTCACGCAGCCGGCCTCACACAGCCTGGCCTCACGCCCCGGCCTGGCCCCCAGACCCCAAGGAGAAAACGCAGCCAGAGGCGAGGGCTTGAGACAGGCATGGAGCCGCCCTCAGTCCCGCACCTGCTCGAGCATCAGCTGGGGTCCTCCAGGCGGACCAAGAAGCCCCAGGGCCAGCCCGGAGGGCCCCCATCTCCAGGTCAATTGAGGGCTCTCAAATCCGGCACTCATTCTTGCAATTTAGGGGTGGGCGAGGGGTGGGGGCATCTGGAGAGGTGTCTTCCCCATGGGAGCACTTCTGATAAAAAGAAGTGAGGGACACGAGGCAGTGTCCACTGATCTCCAGTGGACAAAGTGAGTGTTGAGGACGTCTGGCAAAGGGAGACCTCGGGGCTCAGGGCAGGTGACAGACCTGGGAGGTGCTCCTTCTCCAGGCTGACTTTGCCAGGTGAGGTGAGGCCCGCCTGCTGCGCGGGTACCCCAGGGGCTTGGGGTGCATGTGTGTCCTCTGGCCTGTCTTCCTGCACCTGAGAAAGTGATCGCTGACAACCACTCTGGGCTTCATGCTCCTTATGGGGCTGATCATTCCCATCCCTTAGCGCACCCCAAATATTTTGATGATTTAGAAAGTAAAAATAAGAATGTTACTAACCTGGGCATGACTCACAGTTGGTGGTAATGAAGAAAAATGGAACTTGCCAGGAACTATCATCTTTATGGGCTTCCTTAGCAGCACAGGGAAGAAAGCGAGATGCTGCTGAATACAACCTCCGAGGTCTCTCCTTCACTCCTTTCCTCACGCTCCCTGGGGCTGTGATGCCCTAACGTCTGATTTTCAGAAGTGAATGTATCCACGACCCCCAACTCGTGTCACAATTTAAAGGGGTGTCATCGGCAGCTCTGAACAGCTTTATTTCAAGGCGTAGATGTCACTTTTGGGATCTTGTTCGTGATCGCATCTGTAATTGCCTTTCTTAATGAGAGAAGTGTTGTGACAGTCTGGACGACTGCTGTCTCTCTCACCCCATCATTTTGCCTTGGAGACAAAGTGAGTCATTTCTTAGTAAAAGAATGGAATATCTTTGTAGCAGGGAATGGGGACTGGAGCTAGAGATCTGGGATTTGCGCTTAAGACCACGTGCAAAGGTCAGCAGCGATGTGTCCCAGGCTCCCCTGGCTCATCTGGAAGCCCTATCTGATGAGTCTCTGGGAGCTGAGGGCTCAGGGAGTCAACCTGCCCGCACACGGAAGGCCACCGCTTAGGATATCCAGGAATCTAGTGCCAACTGAGGTCCGGCCAGTTTTGTATGTTTTCCCGAATGTTCCATAGAATCAACAGAAGTTGCAGGGGAGAAGATTTTGAGTCCAGATGAACTAAGAAGCATGTCTAACAGTTAGTGCTGCCTGGGAATGGGTGGATAGCTGCATGAGGCGGTGGGATTCTGCTGGGGCAGAGAAGCTCCGTGCATTGAAGCTCCACTCTCCAGCTTCAGCAGAACCAGAAGCTCAGGCATGAGTAAGGGTAAGTCAGTTACCGGGGTTCTTGCAGGGTTGAGAAGGTGGACAACACCATGACACCCTCCCAAAGCCTGCTGAATGATCAAGTACAATGGGAACATTAAAAAGGAGACAACACCTTCCCCCACCCCCCCCACCCCCACACCCATTTGGCCTGCAGATGGCCAGGAGCCTCAGCTCCGAGAAGCAGGCAGCTCAGAGAGGACTCTGGCCCCTCGTCTCTGCTGGGCGCCTGGGAGAATGGTGATGTTACACCCCCAAGAGAAACAGCTGTTGAGTCGTTGGTACTCTCGCTCTGCACATCACTTTAATTCTCAAGGAAGAACAGCAAGGGAGGGCCACTGGGCATCACGGAAGGCCAGGTCAGTGGTCAGTGGTGACTGGAAAGGGAACCCAGACCTCAGTGTGCACCTGGGGCGCTGGAGGGGCTGGTCCTCTTGTTCTCCTGGGGGCCCCTCATTCAGGGATCGCCACACTGGTGATCACCACCTCCTCCAGCTGGCAGTTCAATGCACACCTTCCCCTTTCGGTACTTGACTCCAAGTGGTGGGGAAGTCAGGAGACCAGCTTGAAATTGTCCTTGTTTGGGGAAAAATGCAACCATTTTTCAAATAACTTTCAGAAAACATAGAATCTAAATGTCTCTTTTGGGTAATTTATGGGCAACAATATTTGAATAATAGTGAAAAAATGCTGTCTAGTCATCTTGTAAAATTTATTGTTTCTACAATTAAAATATTCTACATTTATTAATAGAACATTGGAGAAATGATGAAAAGCAAAGATGAAAGAGCAAGACTGTATGTCGTCGTCACCCAGAGACCGGTGTCAACAGCACATTGGTGTCGGTGTATACTACTCTGATGCTTGGTGCAAACTCATGCATAATCTGCGCACTTAACTAACAATGCCTCGTGAGCATTTTCCACAGCATGACTATCCACGAGGCAAAGTCGTTTTTAACTGAAATATCCCACCGTATAGACATACCATAATTAACTTAATCAGCCCCTTATCGTTAAACACATGATCGCTTTACTCTTGTCTTGGGACGCTATAGCAAACATTTTAGCTCTGTATTTATTTCTAGACATCAATAGTCTCGCCCTTGAGTTATTTCTAACAGAAATTTCTAGATAATTGGCAGACGTGTGCTTAATTAAGCCTTTGACCTCGTCTGACCCTCGCCTTCTCAGCCCTCAACCCTCACGCCGATGGGTGGTTTTTCCCCAGTCACTGAGCCGTCTGTGCTCAGGAGTGTCTGAGTTCTCAAAGACTCCAACTGGATATGTACAGACATTTTAGTGTGAAGAAAAGTCACCGGAACTGACTTTACTGGGAAAGATGAACAGAAAGAATTTGAGTTATTGTTTCCAAAAGCCGCACCACCCTTTAAAAATCACTCCAGATTTACTGAAACTCCACCACCTGCCTATTGGCTCTGTCTTTGTCCCCCAGTCAATTCTTCTTAAATGCAAGATGATCGTAGAATTGTTCTGGAATGCTAACAGACCCACACGTCAAAGTCAGGCCTGGAAAGTGTCCCCAGAGGACGCCTGCACCCCACCCGGCTCCCCTCACCCCGCAGATTTGCACAGGGGTGCAGACTGGCCTGTTCTCCGCTGTGCTTGCCTCCTGAGAGCCTCAGGCGCGATACGAACCTGGCTGGAGACTCTTGCGGCAACATGCTTCCCGCCAAGTTAGGGGCAAGTCCTGATTTGTGTGGGAGGAGAAGATGAGATGTAAAAATTTACCTTGAGGTCTACACCCAGGCTGCAAATTTCAGGCAGGTGGGTGTGACAGGAGAGAGAGCACATTGCCTGTTACCCCTCCTGACCACTCCCACCCACTTGCAGGTGGGGAGGAGCAACCCACCTGCCGAGACCTCATGAGTGGCTGGTTTAGCATTCTGCTGTCTTCAAAATGGAAGGGGAAGACCCGTGAGATGTGAGAACCGAATTCATTGGTGGAATGACTTGGCTAAGTCGGGAAACGCGCGGACGGGCTTAGGATGGACGAGCCCTATTCAGACCAAGTTTGCCCACCTGTGTCACGCAGGCGGCTCTGACTCTTTGTGGTTTCCCGGACTTGCTTGGCCGTTGCCTCCCCCGGCTGCCGCCATGGTGGGGACCGTGGTCAGACCTGGTCCCGGAGTCCCACTCACTGCCTGGCAGGTGCTGATTTAGGACGAGGGGCAAGTGGGACGGTGTGATTGCTTTTCTTTGTCTCCTTGCTCAAGGTTTCAGGAATGAAGATAAGGAGACCCTGGCATGGGAGGGGGTCATGAAGGAGAACTACCTTGTCAAGATCAACACGAAATCCAACGACACCTCAGAGGAGTACGTCAGCCCTTCGCTTCTGCTTGGCCAGGACCCCCCTTCCCCGACCCCACACCGGAGGCTGGCAGGGCACAGGCAGCTCACTGGAGCAAGTTCCGTAGAGAGGTTTCACCTCAGAGAACCATGGCCCTGAGAACAGGCAGGATGGCAAACACGGCAGCGTGCGCCTGGCCTCCTACAGGGCAGAAAACGGCCACCCGCCACCCCTTGGTCCTTCCAGGCTCCGGGGACGAGGAGGCCCTTGCAGGGCTGGCCTGGGTACAGGTAGGGCGCGGGCCCGAAGGCTGCCGAGGCAGTTCTGGAAGGCTGGGCACCAGCTCCATCGCAGGCAACACCCACCTGTCTCCGTGATGAGGAGGTAGAGTGAGTTGCGACAACCTTTGGTTGAGCTGTTCTGGACCCTTCCTGGGAGCCCCTTATCATCCTGTGTGTGTGGCACCAGACGGGCCTCAACACCCCGCTGAAGAGGGCCCCAGGGGACTGGGCCTGGGCACGTTCTTCTTATTCCGGGGGCCATGTGGCTGGTGGCCAGCTTTGAGGTGGGCAGGGCCCCCAGGAGAGTAAATGAGGGCCCAGCCTCCCGCCCCCTCCCCGTCACCCCCGGGTGTCCACTTTAGAGAATGCAGGCCGCTCCTCTCAGTGCCCCCACGCTGGACTCTGAGGTCCGTCCCCAGGGAGGGGCGGCCTTCCAGGTCACCCCCACTACCCTGTCCGCGGAGGTGGACTCTGTTTCTGTGAGGTTTTAGGAGGAAGAGGTGACCCCGCTGGTGTTAATTTAGCTGCAAATGAAAATGATCTGTATTTTGTCCTTTAAAAGACTGTAAACTTGACTTAATGACTCTCCTGAATGCCTCTCTCTCTCTCTCTCTCTCTCTCTTTCAGAATGAGGCATCGATTTAGGCAACTGGATACAAAGGTATCGTTCTGACTATAGATTTGGAATTATTTTTTAAATCTCTTTATATTGTCTCTGAGTTTTCTGCCAGTGTTTAGGATCTCAAAATAAGAGAAAGCTAATTCCTTTCCAAAAAAGGTGCATTCGGTTCCACAGTCCCCTTTTTCCACCCCTGGGTAAAGTCAGGCGCTGGCCAGGAGCCGCCTCTCAGAGGCTCCGGCCCCGGGGGGTGCAGATCTGAGCCCCGTTCTCGTGGTCCCTCAGGTCTCCGGCTCTTCTAGCCGGCAGCCCCTTCTCTTTCCTCAGCCCAGGGACAGGGCGAGACACCCGAGGTGACGGGTCACCAGGAAGGCGCGAGGGTGCTGTGGGGCCCAGGTGCCGCCCTGCTCGTCCTTGATGTCACTCTGACATTCGCTGCTCGATTTGAAGGGCGTGGGGACGTGTGCCCTTCCGGAGCCGGCTGCCGGCAGGCTGGCAGGTTCGGCAGACGTGGCCACCGACTCCCGAGCGCCTCTTGAGGGCGGGGCCCGGACTCTGGCATTCAGTTCCCTCCTGGGGACGACACCCCGTCTGGCGTGGTGGGGTCAGCAGCACCCAGCCCCGCGCCCACAGTAGGGTCTCGGTGTTGTGCATGAATTCGTGAGCGAAAGGGAACCCCTGGGGTGCTGCCGCGAGAAGGTGCCCATGCCATCATCTGCAGTGCGTTCATTTATGTTATTTCCGGCTGACATCAAAAGTAACCGAGACCATGTTTGCCAGACTTGACCTCCTGGACCTGGTCCGGAGCAGGGCGGTGGCCCATGTTTGGCACGTCCTGCCCCACGAGCACCGCCCCCTTCCTGCCCAGTGTCCCCTCTTCCCTGTCCTCTGGGCCTCCGTCGCCCCACAGCCCCGCAGCGTGTTGGCATTTCCAGTGCTGACGTGCAGGGTGTTCTTCACGGTTCTCTCTAGCAACCTACCACTTCTAAGTAGGGCCTCTACCTCAGTGGCTGCAGGCAACCTTTTTAGTGTACTCTTGATTTGGGGAGTCGCGGGCCAGGGAAGGGCTAAGCTGGACAGTTCTTCCGCTCACAGTTTTTCAGCTTTACGAGGCTCGGTTGACTGGGCTGGCTCAGTGGCGGCAGGGCCAGGACCTGGCATGTGTGTGACTTCTCTTGTTCATATGGCTCAAGCTCGTCGCAGCACGGTGGTCTCGGGGCAGACCCCCCCGGCGTACAGAGCGGTGGCTTCCACGCGGGAGGAAGCAGAAGCCGCCAGTGCTCAGAAAGGCCAGGCGGGGATCCGACCCTGTGTAGCTGCTGGAGTCTGCGCCTCGGCCAGTCCAGGCCCAGGCTCTGCAGGCGCCACGGCTCTGTGTGCCGGTGGGAGAAGGAAGTGGCGCCACCCACGCGCAGAGGCTCACTGCCACACAGCAGAGCCGCTGGTGACCCTGCGCTCCCTCTCGGGAGGCTGCTCGCTCCCTCTGTTGGTGCGACTGAGTCAGGGGCTAGGATTGTGGGTGGTGGTGCTAGGATCTATGGGACGAGTAGGGCTTGTGGAAGGAAGGGAAATGTATGAGACAGTCCTAGTTTGGAGAAAATTTAAGGACTGAAGAGAGAGCAGGAAAGCACCACAGGTTGGCACCACCGGGCGCTCACTGCCCGCTGCATAATGTGTGACGTGCGACCACACGGCCTGCAATAGGCGCCCTTGCTCTCGCCTCAGAGCCGGGTGTAGGGTGGTCTCTGCTGTGCTGCAGCTGCGGCTCACAGCACACACTGGACGGAACGTGCCCAGTGCCCATGAGCGCTCGCCGAGGGTGCCAAGCGGCAGGTCGTTTAAAATGAGCCTCACGCCTCTTGTGTCACAAGCTTGTGGAAGGATGCCAGGGGCAAGGATGTTTTTATTGTGCTTTTGCTTAAATGGTTTCCAGAATACTGAGAAAGAATTGTCACAAGCACCCCTTAAGTTTAAGGGGTCCTGCATAATTGCTTCATTATCTAGGTGGGTTTTGTTTATTTTAAAAACTTGATTTTGTTTTTATTTGTATTATATTTTCCGCAAAGCGAACATTTATCGGTATCTTACAAGTTCCTTGCTGTTAATTACATGTAACATTATTATTTCCACAGTTTATTTCTCTGTACTGTCAAATTCTATCATTTCTATGTGGGAGCCCCTGGCATAGGAGGAACGTAACACTCCTTGGCGCTACGATCTGTTGCTAGTGATGTGATTTTAGAAAGTAAACGATGGCAAGTCTGAAAGTGCCAGGGTCACCCATCCCGCCCACCCCAGCTTAACATAGATACCTGTTTCATGGAAAAGCCAGAGTGTTCATTTCCAATTCAAAGTTGGGAAATTTGTCTTGAGGCCAGCTCTCTTTTTTCCCCTTTCCAAGCTTAATGACCTGAAGGTTCTTCTGAAAGAGATCTCCAATAAAATCAAGTAAAACCTTGTGGGCTCGAGTGGAGAGAACACTACTTATAGCAAGGTAAGTCACGCCAGAGGCTTTCTTTTACAGTGAAAACTTGCATCTTTTGAGACTAATTGAACATGGAGACCTTTTGCTGTCTCGCATTACCGGACTGCAATGTAAGGCCTGTGCAAACGCTTCCAACTACAGTAGAGGGGTGGGAAGGAGCCCGCGCAGCCTCTCCTCACTTACTGTCCTGGCCAGTTCTCCCCTGGCCGAGGTCAGCACTGCGGCCGGAGTGTAGAGGAGCCCTCTGCGTCCCTGAAAAATGCCTGCAATGTGCCGTCTGGGCGTTCACTGAGTCAGCGCGTCGCCGTCCCAGGACTCGGTGTTTTCATCCTTACACAACTCTGCATCACCAAGTCTTTGCAGAGCAGCGTCTGAAACACGCAGCTCACCCTCGTCACGCACCATGTAGTTCCTCATGCTCGTTGCTGCAGACGCAGCGCTCTGGTGGTCATCTTTCCACCCCCAGTGCTGTTTTCGTGAGGCAGCTGAGGTTTGTAGCAACAGCTTAAAATGCAATTCAGTTATTGCAAGACTGAACCTAGGGCTTTGCGTGAAGAACTCGCCATTGCTTTAATTATGCTTTCCCATGACCTCTCTGAATTCTGGAATCAAACGGTGTAAGTGTCACTAGGGACCCGTAGAGCTAGGAAACATCAGTGGGCACTGTGTCCCCTAGAGCTTCGAGAGAGTGACCTGCACGGGAAGGAAACAGTCCTTCTCCTCCCGTGCATCTCCCATCTGCTCTCCCCACCGCTCCCCTCCTTCCCCCCTTCCTCCCTCCTTTTTCACTTTCGTCTCTTTTCTTCTTTCTCCCTCCTTCCTCTTTCCTTCTTCCCCCACAACCCTGGCCCTTTCCTTCTTCCTTCCTTCCTTCCTCCCCTTACCCCACTCCCTTCCTTCCTCTCTTTCCCTCCCTCCCTTCTTCCTTTTCCCTTCTTCTCTCCATCCTCCCTCCTTTTCTTACACAGCTCCATGGCGTACATATATTTACAGATCAGTACTTCCTCTCCCTTACTTACTGACCTACTGCGTTATTATTAATTGTTGAGAGCTTACTGGGTGCTGAGAGCTCTGTCCTAGGAGCTCTGAGGGTGAGCCATGGGTCGTGCCTGTGCATTGAAGACTCACACACTGGAGGGTCTACTCACGAGTGACTGAGTTATCAGATTCTCCCTACTGCACTGGATTTCCTGTACTTTGTCTATTACCGCTCTACTTTTTTGACAATTATAGTCATATTAAAAAAAAACCTCCACTATGGAGAGCTTTGTTAAAGCAAGATTGATGCCTATTTTATATAACCTGGAAGGCACACACAGCCTCCCAATGAACTCAAGAAAATAAACCCTGCATAATTCGGAAGAATGTATTTCAATTCTTTCATGTTTAATGAAAAAAATTCAACCTTGCAATAAATCGTAATTTCAGTTTTGAAACATTACCATTGTGTTTAATTTATGAGCTACAATATAGCAAAAACAAGCAGAAAGAGATGAAACAATTAAAATAATTTTAAAAAGCCATAAAGGTATAATAATCATAAAAGAATCAAAATGAGTTAGTGCATTCACCTCTTAAAGCTCTAATCTCTTCACTTCTTATTCTTTTTCCAGTGTATTAACTTACCCTTAAATTTTTATTAATATATGGTGAGTTAATTAATTGGTGAGTGAAAATGGAGTGGGAAAAGATCATGCGTTGTTTCTTGGGGGCTAGCCATGGAAGAGAAAGGAGCACATCAGACAACAGGTGTTTCACAAATTCTTAACTACTGTTGTGTTTAGAAACAATGAATTCAATATGTCCCATTATTTTTTGGTATAAGTTTTTACTGCTGAAATTAAGATTCATTTTCTTTCTCTTTGTTCTTAATACTGGCTATCTGGCATATCCTTAAGAAGTTCACCAAAAATGTGATTTTATAGAAAACCAGCTGCTTGCTGTTAAAACACTTTTCTTCTAGTGCTTCACTAATACTTCTTTCTCTGGAGGCGTGAGGGTGATCTTTCCTGGAGGAAAGGGAAGGAAACAGAATGCCAGTGCCACACATGGTGTGAATACATGTGCGTGGAGGCAGGGCTGGGACTGACACTGGGGCGGGTCTTCGCCAGTTTACCCATCTGGGCTCTTCCTCTCTGAATTAGTCTTTGACCCATTAACTTGGGATGAACTTAACAGAGGAGTGTTACATATTTTTCTGTTTCTCACACAAAGATCGGAAAGAAGAACCAGAGTGAGACTAGAGTCATGTGTTCTTTCAACCTTCACACTTAGGAGTTTGAATCTCCCCTGCGGACCGTGGGAAAAGGAAGAGTACTGGAAGTTGTTTGATCTCTACACAGTAGAGATTCAGTCTTGTATTTGCTGCATTTAAATTCTAATTCAGTCAAAGAATTAGAGGTTCCTTTGGGAAGCATCACGACAATTCTCAATTAATGATTATAGCTTTTAACCTTGTTATCTACTCTTTAATTTATGCAGAACCCACTCAACATAGAAAGCATGAAACAATCTTTGGGGTCTCAAGCTAGATCGAATGAGGTGAGCCTTGGCCAGTCAGTGCAAATTGGCAAACCCCTCAGAAATCACGTTTAAGAAAAAATTCCTACTCTCTTCAATACCACAAGAAAACCTCTCAGTTCAGTATATCTGGGTCCATTCCTGGTAGATTTTCCGATTCCGAAGTAAGTCACAGCTGGAGAATGAAAAGAGGAAAATCTGTCCTTATATAATGTTCTTTATTTTCCCAGGTGATACTAAACATCAAGCGGAGAAGACTCAAGGAAGGTGGATGGACCATTTTGGAACTTACCCCTAAGTTACAATGGTCAGGTCCCTGTGTGCACAGAGGGTGACTTTCATGACCCCATGTGTGCTCAGACCTGAGAATAAAACGAGTGACGGACGCACGAGCACGTGGGTCGAGGGAAGACTGTTCCACGGTGTGCTTCACCCACGCCCGTCTTGTTACTTTCCGAATCTCAGCGCTGGCTCTTGGTGTTGACAGTTCTGCTGTGTGTTCCTATGGTTCCTCTTCCTCCGCTTCTCTTATTTTTGACCCTTGCTTATCATGGAACATGTCTCCTAGGAATAAGAATGCCTTTTCTCCTTGTATTGTTAGTTTGTTTCTCTCTTACTGATTCTTGACTATTTCCTTTTCTTCCCCTTTGCATTATGTGACAGATTCACTGGGCTTGTTGTTAAAAAATCTAAATCAAATGAGAGTCGAAAACACTTCCTAGCCAGAAGACCCTGCCATTTTCAGGCGAAACTATTTTCATTTTTCATGGTGGCTTCTATTATGAAAGGGGGTGCAGACGCGCTTCTCACGATGCCTTTTATTATCAAAGGGGGTGAAAAGCAGCATCCTTCCTCTCGCTCTCCCAGGAGCGCCAATCCAATCAATGTGAAACATCCCACAGTGGACCTTCGAGGTGGCAGTGGCTTTGTTTTCATTCGGTGCTTCTCTTTATTCTCTTCTGTATTATTTTTCCACTGAAGATGATGTGTGGATATGATAGAAAATGTAGACTACATCAATGTAAGCATATAAATAGTCCCACTACCTAAAGATAGTTAACATTTCAGGATGTTTTTCCAAATCCATTTTTTTCTAGGAGTGTTTTATTTCCCTTTTAAATTTTTACATGGTGCCAGCGTGCCACGTCTACGATTTTGTATAAGCTTTTTCACTTAAGACTTTCTCAAGGTACCGCCTTTATATTCACGATCTTCTTAAACATTAGATTAGCGCTTGCATAATCAATCCACCTTCTGGTGACGTCATCAGGCTGGTCCTCTAGGTTGCTTGTGTTTGATTGGTCAGTGGGATGAGCATCTTTGCAATGAATCTGTTTCAGCACTTGGGAAGAGTTCCCCATGGCTTTCTTCCTGGGAAGACCCACTGATTATTACTGCATGTGTACGGCTTCTCCATAAATATCTAGCAAATAAGAATTATTACCTTGAGCATAAGATAGGTGATACATGAACTTAGAACGCTTCATATAACACATTCTATTTAATCCTTAGTTTAGAATGAAGCTAAGATACTCATTTAAATAGGGATGGTGGAGGCGACAGCATAGAACAGGAGAGGTTATCTTATTGAACACCTCTATCTCCCACTTTCTCTGGAACTGGTGGTATCTTTACCCAAAAGAGATGTGCTGGAAATACCTAAGGTAATCTCAATGTCCATAATTGGTCTTTTGAGTGGCTATAAACTCAATGGTTAAAGAAGGCAAACTTAGAAGGGAGCTATTCAAAGATTGTTGAACTAGAAAATCTGTAAAAGCATGAACTAAAAAAGAATTTTTAAAATGTTGTCTGGGAAGTAGTCAAAATGACTACCCACCACATTTGTAACATTTACAGAGAAGGCACAAGGATGGAAGAAGGTCTCTCTGTTCTACCCAGTCATGGCCTAGAGTGGAATTTCATTCAGTAGGTCAGTAGATCAACCAACTCATGGCTCTGGATGCTGAGAGCAGGTGTACTGAAATTCATACAATGAAAATTGGCAATGAGTGGAAATTTTGTGAGAGAACGTCATTTTCATTCACCGTGGCAACAAGACTCTGCCTTTCTGAAACCACCCAAAAGGGGCGTATGGCCACCGCACTCACGAGAGAAATCAAGCGTGTGGACTGTACCTGAAATTGTACCAAGACAAGCATCCATCCCAACCTCTCACCCTCGCCCAGGCAAGGAATTTGAGTGGAATCAAGACAGAATCAAGCATCGCCCTTTCCCACCCCCTTACGTGAGCTTGTCCATAAACTCACATTTCCATTTATTGTGCTTCCACTCAGGACCTGGGCTCATCAGACGCAGGGATCACTCGGACGAGAGGGGACTGTCAGCGTTTTCAACTCAGCATGTCTGGACGTGTCTTCGCGTAGTCCCTCTGTGGTTTTTGCAAATGCAAAGTCATTGTTCTGGGTGTAGATGATGAAAATAGCACACATGCCGAGCGTCCCTTTCGTCAAGATGCTGTGTCTGGTACTAAGTGTGTCCTCCCAACGTGGCCACCACTGCTGCAGTCCTGCGGTCTGCTGAAAATGAGTGTGCTGGTGCGTGAAGCTGCGAGAGGGTGCTATGTGTCGCTCCTGTCACACTATTGAGACTGAAAAAATAAAATGTCTTGGCTCAGTCAGATTCATTTCTAGGAGGGTTTAGTTTCCAGAGTAACAGGAGCCGCTTCTCTAAGCAGAAGATGACAACATTCCGAGTGACCGCAAGCAGGATGGCCCGCGGTTCTGGTTCTTGCAGGCAAGCTCAACTTCTGACCCCCCCAAAAGCACCCAGTGGAGCCCGGTCTCCGGAGAACTCAGAGCCACCCATCCATGGCACTGTCCCTCAGTCATGCCGCGCCAGGTCTCAGGGGACGGTCCCTTGGGAGCTCACACTGGAGCTCAAGATCTGCCTTGGGCTGACACAGGCATCCTCTGCGCACAGGTCCCTGCGATGGCCTCAGGTCCATCCTGGGACTTGAGCTCCTCGCTGAGGGCCTCACCTGTTCCAGGGAGAGTTGGGGCGGTGTGCCCACCCCACCCTGCCGCTCTCCGCCCTCCTGGGTCCTGAGCAGTGTGGTTGCCATGGAGACAGCCCTGCCTGCCACGGCATCTTAGCATCCATCCTGGATGTCAGGAGTAAACACCCACAGAAACAAACGTCGCCTCACGCTCCCCCTCCTCCGGACCCTGGCCATGCTCTGAGTCATTTTCTCCGTGCTCAGAACAGTGGCTAGCCGGTGAAGGACCTTCAGGCCTCCCTGCTTAGTCTAGCCAAGACCGAGTCCGTCATGGCCCAGGCTGGTCCTCACCACGTGCAGACGCGGGTGCCTCCTGGGCTCGTTCCCAAACTCCACTCTCCAGGCCTCTGTCCACTCGGGCTTGAGCGAGATGCTGTGGCACCTCCCAGCTTGTTGCTCCCCCCGACTCTCCGCCCCCACTTCCCAGGAAACCCCAGTGCTTGGGCTGTGCTCCCCCACCCCCAGCTTTGTTCGGTGTCTCAGTGGGTTTCCTGGCCGGAGGGGCAGAGTGCCTCGTTTTGAACAGCAGGACAGACACCCCGGCTGGGAAGCCCAGATCCCTGCTGGCCGGGCGTGTGGCTTTGGGAAGACCACCTCGGCTCTGCGTCTTGGCGGGCTCGCCTGTGAAGTGACTCCCTCCCCCTCGGAACGTTGAGATGAAGTGACACCCCTTCAAAGGTTAATAGCTGCTCAGGGAATGGGCTGTCTTCAGTATTACACTCTCGGTACCCCTTTGTTCAGCGTCTGCTCCCCCCTTCCTTCTGGTGAACCTGCTCTTACTGTCAGGACCCAACTCAGGAGTCACCTCCTCCAGAAAGCCCACCGTGACCTTCCACTCCCAGAACAGTTTCTAGCACCTCTGTCCTCTTAGGCAGAAAATAGATCTGTGGGCCCCCTGGGTGCTGGAAGAGGCCTTCTAGAGGCCCTGAGCAGGCCCTGAGCAGACCCCACCCAGCGGCCTTGTCCTGGAGGTAATCCACTTTCCATTTGGGCTACTCAATTCCGTGAGCATCTTGCTCTATGTCCCCCCGTTCCCCTGGGCGTTCTTCAGGGAGGGGCTTGACCTGTCTGTGCTGCATCAGGGACCCGCCGGCACTTGGCGGTAGCATTTTGTATTGGAGCGCAGCCCTCGCTCTTCCTCAACGCGCCCGTGATCTTGCGTTCTCCTGTTCCTCCTCCCATCTTAACCGGCTCAATTAGGGCCCCGCCTGCCCAGGCAGTGGCCGGTCTCCCGCGCCTGCCAACACGTCCCCAGCCCGTCCCCCTGTGAGTCTGGACCGCCGTTTCTGAGCCCGACGGCAGCCTCGGCGCCTGTCTGTGGGCTGGGTGGCCCGGGATGGGGGTCTCCTCCCCATGGAGCGGGAGCCGTCGCTGGACGGAGACCTGGCCGTCGCCATCATTTCGCTAATCCGTGCATCTGCCCGCCTGCGCCTGGGCCTCACTTGCCACGCAGGAGCTGTGCCCTGTGCTCAGGGCACCCGCACCTGTGTGCAGATCGCCTAGCCCTGAGTGGGGCCTGAGGTCCGTTCCAGGGGGCCGGGGTGGGGTGCCCCGCCTGGCTCTGAGGAGGACCCGCCTTTGAAGCCTGCAGCACGGATTTCTGAGGGCACAGGCCTGTGGGCTCCAGTCGGCTGGCAGAGGCCCGGACTCACTGGCCGGCAGCCTAGGGCACACAGTTAGCGGCACTTAGCAGCTTCCGCTAAGTGCTGTGTTCTGGGCTGAAGGCTTCGCCAAGGTTCCCCCGCAAAGGTTAGTCCCGGTGACCGAGCCAGCGCCTCGGGGGCCCTGCTGGGGCGGTGCAGGGGCCGGGGTCCTCCGGGTGCCCCATAGGCCTGTGGCGGGTCGGGTGGGGACGCTCGCGGGGAGCTCTGGTCTTCACTCCTTTTCTTGCCCCATAAAACATCACCCACAAGGCCCTCCCTGGTGGCGCAGCGGGTTACAGCACAGCACTGAGAATCTAAAGCTGTTTCTGCATGAGTTGGATTCCCGCCTGCCCCGGAGGAGACCACAGGGCGCGGCAGACCTCTCCTGACCCGCCCGCTGCTCCCCTCAGCAGTGGACTTTGTCATCTGCCCCTTCTGCTCCCCACTCTCTCTCTGGTGAATCCTGTCACCCTCCGCATCTCTGGTCTGTACCCCAGTTCTGTACGAATAAATAAATCTTAAAAAAAAAAAATCACCCACAAAACACTGGCCTTTCCGGGCCGGGGAGCGCCCGTCCCTGCGAGCGGGCTGCCCCGGGGGGCTTGGCGGCCGCCGCCTCCGACACTGGGCGATGGCCACGCAGGCTGCGGCCGACGGCTCGGATGACGAGTCGGCTTAGAGACCCTACGCGGGGGACGGTCCAGCCAGCATTACCACAGACATGAGCAACACGAGAAGAAACCACCTCAAGAGCGGGCACCCCGACGGGGTTGTTCTGCGACTCAGCCCCTCTCCCGAGCAGCCGGCGCCGCCCCCCGAGGAGGTGGGGGACGCGCCCCCCCCAGGGGCCGGGGAAGGAACACGACGGCAGGTGCCCACCTGGCGCCGCGGTTCAGCCGGGGTCCCCTGGCCGGCACTGGGGAGCGCGCAGCCCTGGAGGCGGCCTGGGTTTCCAGAGGAGCGCTGAGGTGGAAGCCGCATGTCCCCTCAGCCGCGGCGGGACCTGCGGAGACATTTTCTGGATCATCGCTTTGGCCTCAGCGGCTCCTGCAGCCGCTTGCGCCAGGGCCGCCGGTGACTGAGGGCTAGAAGGTTCCAGGCTCTCCCCAGCAAGCTGCTACCAAAATCAATAGCTCCGAGCTGGCAACAGCATTCTGCCGCTCTCCTTTCCCTCCTCTGCTCTTCGCTGCTCCTTTCATTATTCCTGCTCATTGTATGAGACCAGGGCGCGGGGCAGATGGTGCCAGTAGTTAAGTCTGAAGGATTCTAGTGGAATCGGGGGTGAGGCAGGTTAAGAATAACAGCGTTACCAATCTTGGGGTTCATCACCCCATAGCACTGCTCCGTGCGCCTTCTACACACCGCCAGGGGGTGCAGGCGCCCCCGAGAAACTCCAGGGCCCAGCCCAGGTGAGCTCGCCCGCCTGCACCCCTGCACCTGCCGCCAGCACTTGCCTGGGCCCATCTGGGTGTCTCAGAGGAGGTAAACCAGACCCGGGTCTCCTCGCCGAGCCTGCGGGACAGATGACTCAAAAGCGCAAATGCGCCCCCGGGGTGAGGAGGAGCGGGGTGCCGCGGGCAGCCGGCACCGGGGCCAGCAGAAGACGAGGCAGCGGACGGCCTGGAGCGGGCACGGCGCTGTTTAAGGGGGGCCTGGGTGAGGGGGCGCGGGCTGGGAAGCGGGAGGCGTCGCCTTGGTTCTTTGGAAGCACCAGAGCTGCACAGCCGTGTCCGAGGACCTGCGGGGCGCCTGTGCGGCTGGAAGCTAGCGGGTGGCCGGAGGGGAGCCGGGGAGATGCTGGACCCCAAGCGCGGCGTGGGGCGAGCGGGCACTCAGAGGAGCTGGCGGGCGGCTGCCCAGGCCGTGCTGCCTGCGGGCTGAGGAGTGGGGCCGTTTGCCCCGGGAGGGCAGCGTTCACGGGAGGTGGCCAAGCAGGATGTCGCCATCGCGGCTCTGCAGACGGGCAAAAGGGAGGCGCTGTCTTGATTCTTGCAGTCGCTGTGCGCAGCAGCGGGGACTTAGAATTGGCCTCAGAGCGGCGCCCGCAGGGCCCGCTGTGTGTTAAGTCTGTGCAGCCCTCTCCCTCTCTCCCCCTCCCTCACGCACTCTGCCCTCCTTACTCCTTCTCCCCTTCCCTTTGCCCTCCTCCCCCCTTCTCTTCCTGCTCCTCTTCCGTCTCCCCTCCTTGTCAGTAACAGGCCTGGCCTGGGCCTCTGTAGAGTGCTCCCGTCACCCCGCCTCCTGCGGCCAGGGCGGCTCTAGCGCCCACGGGTCCCTCCTGCTCTTTCCTCCTGTCTCCTGCACCTCTGCATCTGTCCAGCCCCGGCCAGCGGCCCGGGAGGCACCGTGGGAGGGGGAGGGGCCCCCTTGAGCCACGAGGTTCCCGGCGGTGCTCACAGGCGAGCTGGGCCGCTCAGCGCTGGCTTCCATGGGCTCCACCTCCGGCCTTGCGGGCAGCAGACACGTGCGCGCGCCGGACCGCACTGGCCAGCTGTCCGCCGAGGAGCGTTTGCCTCGCCGCTCTGGGGCTGACGCCTGTGTGGTCTTTCTGTGTCGCTTTGACTCTGGCGCCCGGGTAGTTGATCGAACATTAATCTGCTTGTTTCTGTAAGATGATTTTCACCTGAGACGAACATCAGGTCACTTGGAGGGAAGCAGATGACACTCCGTCGGGTGGAGTGGGCCCCCGCGGCCAGCGGGCTCCTGGGACTTGAACTGCAGCCTCTCCGGGCTCGGGGTGCTGCCACCTGGCAGCCCCCGCCTTGGTGTGAGCCAGCTCCTCAAAAGGAACCTCTGTCCCGCCATGACTAGTGGTTTGTTTGTATAGAAATACAAACTGTTCTTGAGTATACGCAGGTATATTTCAGTACGGTGCGAATACACACACACACCCTATTATTATTCCCACTGAAGTTGTTCAGAGGTGCTGTGGACGCGCCTGGCCAATGTGAGACCAGGGCTCCGCCCGCCCCCTTTACACCCCCGGCCCTCCCTCTCTCTACCCCTCTTAGTTTAAGGCGCCTCATCCGGCTTGTGAGTGTCCACGGGTTTCTTAGATCTTTTGCACTGTTGAACCATGTGGTTTGTCCAGTGTTTGTCCTCCTCATTCTGACCTGCTTTGCTGCGCGTGATTCCCTCCAGCTCCTTCCATTTTTCTGTCAAGGGCAGCGTTTCATCCTTGCTTCGGGCTGAGTAGTGTCCCGTGAGGTGGACAAACCACGTCTTCCTCACCCAACCACAGCCAGAGGCCCGTAGGCCGCGCCCGACCCTGGCTGTCGAGTGGAGCCACAGGAGATGCTGTGAGCATAGAGGCCGTGACCTGGCGGCCTCGTGAGCTCGGGGGCCAAGTCTTCGTGAGTCCCAGCGGCAGTGAGGCCTCCCGCCAGGACCTGGACAATAATCGCAGTGGCCAGCACGCACACAGCCACACCGCAGCCACCGGCGAGAAACCTCTCTCCCACCATGTCTAAGAGTTTATTTCTCCATGCATATAAATAATTTTTAAATTTATATAGAAATTTTCTTTTCGATGACTCTCAACTCCCGTGGGGCCTGATGTCCCTACAGGTGGCCAGCTGCGGGCCCCTTCGTCTCGGGGATGCCCAAGGAACTGCCTGCAGCGGGGAGGTCGGGGAGGGGCCAGCTTCGTGAGGATGGAGGCCTTCCTGGCCTACTGAAGGCTTTCGCGTTAAAGCACGTCCCTTACGATCTTTCCAGAAAGACCTTGAAATAACCACTCTCCACCCGTGAATGGCAAGTGCAGGGGCTTCAGAGCAGGGATTCCACAGAGCACATCTGAAAACTCCTTTGTTGGAGACAAGGTTACTCTCCCCACCGCAGAGGTCACAGTACAAAGACGCAAACGGTGTGTGTGGCATTAAGACAGAAACCAAACAGCACACACAGGCCCGGCCTCTGCACGCTCCGTGGGCTGAAGTCCCTCGCTGAGGTCAGAACTTCCAAAGTGGCCGCCAGCTGGAACCTTTCCAGAGGGAGGCGGCGGCAAACTCTGACCTCGGGGACAACTGTTTCTGGCTAAGCTCCAGAAGCTTCGACCCGGGAGGGCGGCCAGGTGTCATTTGATCCAGGAGGTCCTGTCAGCCCCTGACACGTAGAGCGACGAGCTCCCGGCCCAGAGCCGAGGCGGGTCTTGCCGCGATGAAGATGGCAGTGGAGATACTGATCCTGTTGGCTCTTGGGGCGAGCGCTCCACTTTGTGCAGGTAGGAGCTTGGGGGGCCCAGGCTGGCGCGGGCTGCCCTGGCCGTCCTGTCTCACCATGTCCGGTGTACTCTGCTCTGCACCCAGGTTTCCCCGTGCCCACCCACGAGCCGCCCCCCCTGAGGAAGGCCCTGGCGGCCTCTGTGGCTAAAGTGAACGCCCAGGGGCTGAGTCCGTATCTGTTTCGCGTGTACCGAAGCACCATCAAAAGAGTAAGGGCCCGTTGTTCTCACTCCCCTTTACTCTGCTTTCTGTGCTTCTTTCCTCTGCATTTTGGGGTACACGCTTTCCCTTTCCAGCTGAAGGTAGCTGGATAAAGGACTTAATGACACATCATCCCCCAGCTACTCGGGACGCCCCGCTCTTCGCGGGATTCTTCCCTCTGGCCTCGCTTCCTGCTTCCTCTCCTGCCTCCTGCCTTTGTATCCAGAGCCCCCTGGTTCTTCTCCTGGGAGGTTTTGCTGAGAACTGCTTGTCTGTCAGAAATGAGGCTGTTCCGCGCTCAGCACCGCCTGGTACTCACGGGGATTCCATTCCAGCTTTTGAGCCTAAAAACCCACCTTCTTTGTCGAGTTGGGGCTATAGTGTGTTTCCCGTTCACCGTGGGAAGTGAGGGGGGCGTTCCTTGGGCTCGCGAGGACTAGCCTGGGTAGGAGCCTGGGTAGGCAGAGGCTGCAGAGAGCCTTGACGGCCAGGGGTGACTCTGGAGGGCAGTGACCGCCCCCCCCGCCCCCGCCCCGGCCTGGTGATGCCCCTGAGTGAGGAAGCACAGAGCCACCCTCAGGGCAGCTTAGGCTGGAAGAGGGGAAGGGGAGGATGGAGTGACAGGCCCTGGGGGCGAGCTCTCCATGCCCAGTCGCAGGGGAGCTGGCAGGACACCGGGCCCAGCTCCCAGCCGGCCGTGGCGCGCCCCACAGTGCCAGGTGGGGGGTGCCTTCCCTCACACCCGCTGGCTGCCACCTCAGCCCACCTGGCTGTCCCCTCCAGTTGCTTCTGGTTCCTCTGCCCCAGTCTCCCACCCTGACCCATTCGTCTCGACCCTTTTACCTTAGAAACCAGCTTAGTTTCTTCAGTCCAGATTCCTAGGAAATTACTTGCCATGTGGCCTTTTCTTACCGGGGCGCAGGTCATGAGGATGATGGGCTGCGCTTCATTAGATTCCCCACCCAGGGGTCCCAGCCAGCCTGGGGTCACTGGCGTGGACGCTCTGCAGGGACGCGTGTCCAACTGCAGGGCAGAGGGGTGCCTTTTGGGTGAGTTCTGGGCGGTACTGGACCGACCCCCGCTGGCGCACTGGTTTCTACCTGTGGCCTTGAATGAAATCCACTTGCAGCGTGGGGGTGCCCACGCCCTCTCGCCAGGCTGGCAGATGACCATTGAATTACTCGTCAGTTAGCCGGAGCTCTCTGCAGAACGCGTTAGCAGCTAATTAAATGAATGAGAGCAGGAGGACAAGTCCGGAGAGAACCAATAGCTGGCGCCGTGGAACTCTGGCCTGGGGAGGGGCCTGGCCCCTGAGCACGTGCTGGCCTGCGCCATCTTGGTCGCGGGCGCTGAGCCCGCACGTGCGCACCTGCCAATAAGCACACGTGTGAGTGTGTGTGACCCTTAACGAGGCCGTAAATAGCAGATGCCCCGTGTACGCCGCTGTTCTTTCTGGAAGTCTGCCTACTCGTGCTCTCCCAGACTCTGTGGCGGACTCAGACCGGCTGGTCAGCACACGCATCGGCCCCTGCAGAGGAGTGCGCGTCTCCTGCCTGGAGGCAGACGTCCTCCCTCACTCTCGCCGTAGCTTGCCCCCCTCCTCGGCATGCTTTCCTCCATTTTGCTTTACTGCACGTGTTCGTGGTGCTTTCTGGAAATGCCCGTGGGCAGTCCCGCGGGTTCTGTCTCCTTCCATACTCACAGGCCCGAGAGACACTCAGGGCAAAAACAATAATGAAGTCCTCGGCAACAGGTGAAGCAACAGTTCATGGCCCTGAGGGTACAAACTGTCCCCAAAAGAAGGAGTAGAAATGTGGACGCGCGGGAGGACTTTGGGCCTTTTCTCTTCAGTGTGGGTATGGACTTTTTAAATTATACAACATTCTTACAAACACTCTCTTCATGTCATTTATGCTTTTTTGGGCTAAGTTATATTTATTGATTTACAACACCATGTATGTCTTAAAATATTTTTTAAAGAAACACTGGCCCCCACGATCACACTGAGTGTGGTCATTCCAGCCACAACGCAGGCCCTGGATTTTCTCGTTTGACTTCCTCGTGCTGTGTGTCCACTTGTCCTGCCTTTTTCAAACTACACACAGTGGAAATCACCAGCTGAGAGTGAGCTCAAATTACAAAGCAAAACCCCTTTTCTCCGTAGGTGAGAAAGAGTGCAAAAATGTGCTTCGACAAGCAAAAAAGATTGCAACTTCACCTCTGAGTTGCATGAGAAAAATTGTCAGGACACAAACCTCCTTGTTTTCATCTTTGCAATTGAGCGTTTGCGTTGCCAATTCATTCACCAAACTGCTTTCAGGGAAGTTGTTGAAGCTTCTGCCCCAGCGCGGGAGGTCAGAGGGGACGGAAGAGGTTGAATCCCTCTATGAGACTCAGACTGAATAGCTGAAGTTCCAAAGTTATGAGTAAGAGGCGGCAGATAATGACGTGGCTGAGTGGGGAGGCTGGTTGTTTCCAGAAGACTCTCCGTGTCAGCGCTTCCCACCTGCCTGGGTGGCTCAAAGACCTGCTCCCAGCCTGGGTCTGCCACAGGCGTCTGGGGCAAGTGGGCCCCACGCCTGCCTGTGGCTGCGCCCAGGATGCTGCCCCCACGGGGCAGTTGACTGGCTGCGCCCCTGATTCCGTTTGCCACATGAGGGTTCCAGAGCTGGAAGGGAAGGCTCTGTAGGGCCTGGGGGCGTTGTTGGCTGCTGGACAGCTCGGGCGCCCCTCTGGCTGCCCTGCCGCCATCTTGGCCCTGCCGCCATCTTGGCCCTGCCCTGTGTGTCTGCTCTTTCACGCAGCCCTGCGATTCAGAGCTTCTCTCCTGAATCCTTGGGCATCTCTGGCTACCGTGTTGTTTTCCTGTGGACACTGCGTGGACTTTTCCCTACTCAGCCTCTGACACTGGACACACCATGGACACTCATTAGAGAGGACACTCATTAAGTCAGCCTCTGGCACTGGACACACCATGGACACGCATTAAGTCTGACGTTGTGAGGACGTTACAGACATAGCAGAAGGTTTGGGAGTTCCTCTTAGAATCCTACCTTTGGTGGGAGGGAGTAGAAAACTGAATTCATTCATGGGCCAGGACCGGTGGACAGAGGGCTCAACTGCCCACTACAGCAGCAGGTTTTCAGGAATTACTGAGAAGTTCCAGAGCATTCTGTTGTAGTTTTGTGGATCCCTCAATATATCGCTGTCTCTTGTGTGTTTTGGTTTAAAGACATCTTATTAAGACATTATTGACTTATTGCTGTCCTCATGGCCAATAGCACTATAGCTCAGGCCTAGAGGACACGTGACTGGTCCCAGCCTGTTTGCCCTGAAGGACTCTAGACAGCACCCCAATACTTTGTTTGGAACCAATTTTAAAGAGCAAGCTCACCAAATAACAACAACAATAATAATAACAATAAAAACAATAATAGTAATAAAAGCCCAAAAATGCACCCCCAAAAGTGACATAAGTAGACCATGACCGTGACAGGTTTTGGCGGGGTGAGCATTGGCCTGGGGAGGCGGTGGTCCCCTTCTTTGACCTCCGTTGGGGGCAGGTGCAGCCAGAGTCCCCAAGTTCCGGCTGTCAGGGAAGATGGCGAAAGTTCACTCCATTTTGAGTTGGGGGGTAGAAAGTAAACTTAGCGACCAGGAAAATTTGCAATCGAATCTGCAGATAACGAGGATCAGTTGGAAACGGGGGTCTCGGGAAATGATGTTCGCTGGGTGTTGGGAGTCCACACCCCACCCAGCCCCTTTGTCCCTGAAGTGCCGTGTGCCTTGGGTGTAGCCCCTCGCCCGCTGGTCTGCAGACTGAGTGTGGGGCTTGCTGACTGCTGAGACACCTGTGGTGTGAATGGTGGGGGAGTCCGAGACTTTCTGGTCGGACGGGGAGAAGCTTCTAGCGCTGATCTTCAGACACACCTGGATGGCAGCTTGACGCCTCGTCTCTGTAAAGGTCAGTGTCTTGGATGAAGACAGTCTGATCGTGGACATAGAGTTCAGCGTTCGAGAGACAGCGTGCAGGAGAGACTCCGGGGAAGATCCAGCCACCTGTGACTTCCAGAGGGGCTACCACGTGGTAAGTGGGGACAGCAGATCCCAGAAGCTTAGTGGAGGAGAGTCTCGTCTCACATGAGCGCAGCGCGGGGACGCTTCACGGCGGCGCCAGTGGCAGGAGCCGCCGCACCCGTGCTGCCAGCCGGGTGGGGGAGCCCCCAGCGACTGGGAATGCGGGATCTCGTGAGCATGGTCCTGGTGCACCCTCGACTCCGGTGCCTCGGTCTCCTCAATCTTTACAAATGGGATAATGATCACCCCGGCAAAGTGAGTGTCCAGCGGTCACAGCAAAGGAAAGTCCCAGAGATGTCTGCAGTTCCACAGATTGACACCGCTCTTCTGCGGTCAGTGCCGGACATGAGCTGGGTCATCAGCCTGGGCTCCGTGGGGTCTGGGCCCCAGGTTCACTGCTTCAGCCCCAGGGACCAGAACATGGCCACCATTTGGTCAACACTACAGGTGCAAGTCCAGCACCATCAACCCCAAATTTGGTTTTTGGGGTGTTTTTGTTCCATCTACAGGTTTTGGGGTTGCTATTTCATCAGCAAAGAGGGGCTCTTTGCTGACTGCTCATTCCGTGAGACCTTCCGCTGAGGACCCCAACACTGGCGCCGCGCGAGCTGACTCTTGCTTTGCCTCTGCAGCCGGCGGCCCGGTGCAGGAGCTCCGTGCAGGTGTCTGCCCAGCAGGTGCAGGACGTCTGGGTTCGTTGCAGCTGGGCCTCCAGTTCCGAGTCTGACAGCAGCGAAGAGGTATGGCCGGGGCTGGGCGTTCTCTGAGGCAGAGCGTGGTCCGTGGGGGCCCGTGACAGGCAGAGGGAGGGCGGCACAGCGGGCACTTCACCAGGTGTGTTCAACAGAGCTCACCCCCCTCAGCAGTCTCAGTCTGTCTCCCCTCCTCTCCCAGCCCCTGCCGCCTCCCTCCCACGCCCTCCCTGGGCATCTCTCTTCCCGGAGGTGCCCCCGGACAAGAGCTGACATCAGCGACCGGCACACCCCGGCTTCAATGTAGGCCCAGGGCTCGCCGACACAGGTTTAGTGGAGTGAGGAGGGGCCTTTGGCTGGCCAGTCCTGTCCTGTCCTCAGGCTCAGAGGACTTACCTCTCATGCTCACACTTCTCCTCCTGAAATGCCGGGGAAAGAGACCGGCGGACGGGTTGTGGAGAGGACTGAGGCAGTTGACGGCACGAAAGTTGGTAACCTGCACGCTTCTGACTGGGGGGTGTCTGCTCAGTGGCTCTCTTCTCGCCGGAACGTGGGTGTCACGTGAGCAGGGGCATCTTGTCCCGTCAGCCCAAGAGCGCTTTTGGTATACGTCAGTGGTCAGTCCACTCGGTGCAATAAATAAGAGAAACCGAGGACGACATCGTCAAGCATGTGACACGGACGGGCAGCCCCTGGACACTAGCTGGTGGCTCGTGCTGTTGCTGGGGACAGGCTTGGGTCCTGCTGCCGGCTGCTCCCAGGCCAGGAAGCAGGGACAGGAGTGGAACCTAGAAGCGCTTTATTGCTCAGCTCGCTGGCCGTGGCTCTGAGAGCGGTGGGCACAGCCCCCAAAGAGCTGAGAGAACAGAGGGCTGCTGCCCCCCTCCCCTGGCTGGCCTGCTCCAGAGGGTGCGACAGAGCTGGCCCTCAGACAGCCTGTCACAGCTGACGTTCCTGGCATTTGTCACATCCAGCCCAGGACTGTCGTCAGCACTGGGTCACCTTGACCCGGGTCATCTACGGGTCAGTGTCCGGCACACATGCAGGCATCCTGGGGCAGGACGCTCAGCTCACAGCAAGATGTTTAGTTTAAAGGACACACCGCGGGCACCGTGAGCCGGGCAGCCCTGCTGGGTGAGCAGGCCCGTGCTGGGCGAGGCCTCCTTCCTCCCCCGTCGCCGTCAGCCTCCTTATTCAGCATGGCAGGTATTTTTAAAATGTCATTTTAAAGTAACACAGCTGAATCCACCCAAGAGCATAATTTTATTGAATTTTTCAGTATTTAATTCTGTAGTGAAAATTATATTCCAAGAGTATAAAATTTCAGCTTCAGAATTACTTATAAAAGCTAATGTTGCCTTGTTGTTAACACACCCACGCCTTACCTGCTGTGCGTGGAAGTCCATTTTGGGGCCAGGAAATAACGAAGCTCGTAATGCAGGGGCGTCCGTGACGGGGGTGGGGTCCTGGGGCCGGGAGCCCACGGGGCTGTCGCGCCTGTTGCTGGACCTGTTTGGCCTGGTGACGTGGAGGCCCCACCGGGGGTTCTGGCTGAGCCCCGACTAGGCGTGATGCTCCCCACGGCGAGCCCACTCGCACGCCCCGCCCCCCCCCAGCCCACCCAGCCATGGCGAGGCCCCAGCCTGTCCTCGTGAGTGTCCTATGCTTCTGCAGTTTACATGGGGAAAGCCAGCGGACACTCGGGGCAGACCCAGCCCCTGTTTGTAGATGAGTCTGGGGTTTTCGTGAGGCAGGGGTCGGGCGTGACTGCGTGGGGTAACGCGAGCGTCCCTGGCACTGGCCCGGGCCCGGAGACACGTGAGGGGCCTGCAGAGGAGGGAGAGAAGGGCTTCAGGCGCAGCGGGAGTGCGAGTCAGTGCCCTCGAGTGTGGGAGAAGCCGGCGGGTTGAAATGGAAAGAAGCTCATTGTGGCCGAAATGAGGGGAATGGAGGAGTGGGGGGCGCGGGAGAGGTGGGGGCGCAGCCGGGGAGGAGTGGCCCCCAAGGCGAGACGGACTCTCGGCGGCAGTGGCGGTCACCATAGGATAGGTGGCCACAGGCCCAGACGAGGAACAGACCCGGCCGAGGGCGGGGCTGGCAGGACAGGCGAGAGGGCACAGCTAGGCTGGAGTCTGGGGGCGCTGGGAAGGCGCGTCTGCCCCATGCTGTGACTTCCCCGCAGGGGAGCTTCACGGTAGGCACCCCCTAACTGGGCCTGCTTCCACGCCTGCCGTCTGCCTGGGCGGCTGATTCTGGGCGCTTGAGGACCCGATGGGTGGGCCCCAACTTCCTAGCTGCAGGGTGAAGACCACCCGCTTTTCTCCCACTCCCGAGCTCCGCAAGAAGACAGCGACCCTGAGTTAAACGGGCCCAGACACAAACAAAGTGCTAAACCGTGCTCCTGAGATGCTCCCCCCACGGACAGGGCATCGTAAAGAGTTAAGACTGAGTTAAAATTTTTTTAATTAAAAAAAGCCGCACCTCAAATGAAAGAGAAGAAAACAGATGGAAATTTAAGGTAATTCCTGGAAACTCGGAAGTTTGTTTCCTACATAGGATAGAGAAAAACTAGAAAACAGCTGTTAACCATTTTCAGTGAAATAAATGGTGATGTTACAGGCGTGAGAGAGACTAGACCAGGATGCATGTAGACACAGAGCAAATAAATCAAGGCTGGAGTAGGAAACAGGAGAAATAAAACTGAAGAAGAAATCTCCGCGTAATGAAAACAAAGACCTCTGGAGGATCTCGCGGGCATCGCCACGCCCCAGGGGCAGGGCGGCGCAGGACGGAAGGGCGGGCGGGAGAGCAAGGCCAGGGCCCGGCAGGCCTGGGGGCTCGGTGCAGGCCAGAGTACCTGGCAGGGCCACCGGGAGCGGAGCGGGCTGGCTCCCGCGCGGCTTAAAAAGCGAACAAGCTTGAAGAAACTGGAGCAAAGGCCTAACTTTGCTAATATTCTCTCCTTGGCCACACAGGTGTTTGGATTCTGGTAGTTTCCTTTGCAGTTTTTTCACTTTGACAGACAACGCTGAGAGGGAAAGGTTTTGTGTCGCTGCTCGGCACTCATGGGCGGGGGGCCGGGGGCCCCCTCAACCTGCAGCCCCTTAGCTGTGGGCTGACGGGCTGATCTGGGTGAGCTTTCTGACTAGGCCGGGCAGGGGGTTTGGTTAGGTTTTCAGCCAAGAGCCCGAAGGGTCCGGAGGAGAGACTGAGGAAGAGGCACTTAGCGGCAGTCCTGGACTCCCAGCACGGGGGAAGCCGGCATTTACTCTGCTAAATGTCTTCCTCTTCACGAGACAGAGACTCAGCTGCAAGTGGCTTGAGCCAAGATGGTGCGATTCCCTGGACCACAATCCACACCGGGAAGGGTGGGGATGGCTGCCCAACACCCACAGCTCAGTTTAGGGGACTCAGGGACCCCGACGCTCTCTGTGCCACACATGTTCTCCGTGCTCCTCGCTCTCCCTCCTCCCCTCACCCTCCTCTCCCCCCTTTCCATCCCTCTCCCCTGCCTCCTCCTCTCCCTTCCTGCTCTCCCCCTCCTTGTTCCCTTCCCTCCTCCCTTCCCCCTCTACTCGCCCCTCCCTCCTCCGCCCCTGTTCTTTTCCTTCTCCCTCTCCTCCCCGCTTCTTCTCCTTCAGCCCTCTCCCTCCGTGTCTCCGGCCTCCTTCCCTTTCCTGAGCTTTCCCCTTACAGCAAGAAGCTGCTCCAGATTCAGAGCCTCTAAACGCAGGAGGAAGCGGGGTGCCCCTCTAGCTCCAGCTGAAGATGCTTTTTGGTGTTATCCCCGCCAGCCTGGCTGAAGTCGGGCTACCTCCTTTTCACTGACACCTTTGCTGAGGTATTAAGCACATAACGCACACTGACCCCTTGAATGTGCACAGCTGGGTGGTTGTCAGTGGACCCTGTGTTGTGCAGCCATCACCACTGAGTCCAGACCATGTCCCTCAGCTCAGAAGGAGCCTCCTGGCATCAACAAAGATCCTGCAATCATTGTCGGCTCCCACCTATACCCAACCACCACTCATCTACTGTCTGTTCACGGAGTTGCCAGTTACCTGTTCTGGTTTCATAGAAATGGAATCACGTGGCAGGTGCTTTGTGGTTCATCTTATTGAGCACGGTGTTCTGCAGGCCCGGATCTGTTGTAGCACATGCATCAATACTTCTCTCGTTTTCATTGCTGAGTAATATTCCATTTCTTTTTCCTCCTGGCCATTGCAATCAATGAAGCTTTGCACATTTGGGAACAAGATTTTGAGTGAACATAGGATTTTGTGTGGACTTTTGTTAAAGACCCCGACTGGAAAAAGTGGGTCCTTGGCCTCTAGGGAAGTAACTCACCAGAGAACACTGGGTGAAGATGAACTAGGTGAGGTTTATGAGAGACGTCACCTTTGGGGGCGGTAGGCGGGAGAGGAGGATTAGCCTGGCTGCTTGGGTGGCTGCTTCGGGACAGGTCCGTGAGGTGAGGTGGAGGAGAGCAGTGCCTGTCTCTGGGCTGGGCCCTCTCCCTCCAGGGCTTTGTGAGGTAACCATAGCTCAGGACCTGACACTCTGATCTGTCGCCATGTCTCATGGTCAGGGCCAAATTGTTGGGAAGGACTCGCTGCCCGTGGTCTAGTCCACCTGCTCAAACAGGACTTGGGGCCACTCTTACCCTCCCGGGCGCGTTCCCTTGACACCAGCCGTGTCCTTGACGCTCCCTTTCCTTCTGGGACACCCCTTCTCTTGACTTAATAGGGAGGGAGGGCCTCATAGAGAAGAAATTGCCGAGTGTGGCCACAAAGCAGACTTCTTGCAAATTCATATGGCCGCGTTTCATCTTTCTGGCTTCGGAGTAATCTGAGCTGACTGGAAAGCTCCAGAGAATTTAGGCATCAGGCTGGTCACTCTGACAAGCTCTCCCAGACACTGCGCCTCACCCTCCAAAGCCGTGCGGCGGCGCACACCACAGTGGCCCTCACCGGAGGCCGCAGTTCACCCAGGCGTGTCCTGGCTGTGTCCCCACGTAGCTCCCCTCCTCTGTCTTCCATGTGCCGACACGCGGGCGCCTACTCTACCCAGAGGACTTTCGGGCACACGTCGGGATCCTCTAGATGGAAAAGCAATTATCAGTTTGGTAAGTTGAGATCTGCTCTGTCTAATGCCTTTTCCTTGAAACAGTCTTCACTTCGAAGCCCTCTATCAGTGAGTCTAAAAATAAACATCGAACGATGATGGAAATTACAGAGAATAAACACTTCCCCTTGCTCCTGCTCCGCTCTTCACGCCAGGCGGTACTGAGACAGCTTCTCGCCCAGGTCACCCTTCACAGCTGTGAGAGCCTCCGGTGGCCTTCTCCGTGGCGGCCCTCAGCTGTGTCGTCAGGCGGGTGCTGGCTGGAGGGCCCCTCACAGACGTGCCCTCCTCCTGGGGGGCGCGGCCCAGGGTCTCGGCCTGCGGTCTCTGCAGTGACTTGAGGCTGGTCTGGTCTGGGCTAACCCTCCTCTGACGGCTGGCCTAGTCTGCCACCCTCCCCGGCTGGGGGCGGAGCTGACAGCCCTCGAAGAGGCTTGGGCGGACGAGGACTCCCCTCGCCTCCGGTAATGGCCCTTTGAAGTGGGGTCGGGTCAGTGTGTTTTCGGGCTTTGTGACCCTGTGCTCACCCGTGGGCTTCCCCACCGGTGCTGATGGTGGCACGCCTCGGCCATCTCCCACGCTTCCTCTGTGAGAGGCACAGCTGTGGCACAGTAAGAACATAGAACATTCCGGAAGCAGGAAGCGGAGGCTATGTCTTACTCTGTGGCTGTGTTTCAGGTCTCCTTCCGGACAAATCCAGAAGCGAAAGACTTTACGAACGGTCCCAGGGTACGTGGCCCATCATTCTTCGCAGAGCCCCGTTTCTGACCAGTCTAGTCTCTGCAGGAGGCGTTCCTGGGAGAGGGCGCCAGGTCACACTGAGCTCTTCAGTGCAGATGGAAGGAACTGCCCTGCAGCAGACTTGCCAGCTGACAGGGAGACAGCCAGGAGGCCAGCGCCCGCTGCCCGTTCCCGAGTCGCGCTGGCAGAGCCGGCCGGACGTCAGGCTGCCCTGCTCCCTGGCTCGCCGCCGGGGCCTTCGGGGAAGCCCAGGCCCTCGCGCTCTCCCCTGCCCCCACTCCGCCCCCGACCCAGTCAGTGTGCTTTGCGGTCAGGGGACGAGGGGACAGTGCTGAGTCCCGCGGGTTCACGGATGCGTTTTCTCAGCCCGGCCCGAAGCCCTGGACACAGGTGTAGCCTCTGTGTGCGGTGGACACGGATCATGGTGCCCAGGGCTCCTGCCCACGCAGGCCCGGGCTCTACAGGCCGCAGCACCATTTCCCTCGGTCGCGGGCAGCACCCTGCGAAGCAGCTCCGGGCGGGTCCTTGGGGCTCGCGGGCGCACCCCGAGGCCCTGTGTGTGCAGCGGACGGCACAGACCCTGGACCCGGTGTGCGTGGGGGTAGCACGGACTCGACTTTGACGCGGGCTGTCAGACCCAGAGCCTCACTCCCCAGAAGAACGCGAGACCTGCCCGGTGTCCAGGGTCCTCCCGTAAAAGGAGTGAGCAGAGAGTGCTGTTGCGGGGGGACGTCGGAGCGGGCTCATTCCAGGGAATCCTGAAGCGCTGACTTACAGTGTGAAGAATGATGCAAGACACAGCGCACACGCCGCCTGCAAGTTGTCACTTTGAGAGACGCTGCAGTCACCCCCACAGCGAAGCCACCGAAAACATGTTTTCGACGCGTCCTTTGGAATGGCTTTCAGAATCTGGCCCATTCTTTCAAATCTCTGTCATGGTAGAAAATATGGGCCCTCGGATTCGATTTTGGAAATAGCCAGAAACCATCTGGAGAGGGATGCGCGCCATCAGATGGACAGCCGGCCAGCCGCGTCTGTGCTGTCACCGCGTGCTCCGTCACCTGCACCCGGCAGCCGGAGACACGCTTCCTCTTTCAGTCGGTGGGGTCAGGAACGCAGAAGCCGCTTGTGGGGTCAGGTGTGGGCCTCTGCCAGACCGCAGGCACGGTGCTGGGTGAGGCCGCAGGTCCCCCTTCCGAGGCTGCTCGGGGTGGCCGAAGGACCCCCTCCTCCCAGTTCCGTCCCACACCATCTGCCTTTTACTGGGCGCCTTGAAGGACCTCAAAACGTGACAGCTGGCTTCCCCCAGTGGAGGTGACAAGAAGGAAGACTGAAGACACCGCCTCTCGCGGCCCAATCGCACGAGGGTGCACACCACGGCTGCGGCCGCAGTCACCACCCAGCACCCCAGCCCGTGTGGGAGGGGGCGCCGCCGTGGGAGGACCGGGAGCCTCTTGAAAGCCACCTGCCTCATTGGGGAGAAACACGTGGCTATACATGACTGTGGCTGGTGCCTTTCCCCTGCCTCAGGTGGTCGGGCCAGAGCTGAAGTCCAACACGGCTTTGGCTTCAGGGACGTGATGACGTGCCCCGTCTCCAGGGCCACTTTGGACAATTTGGTGCAAATCAGCACATGTGTCTGCAAGCACTGGGCTGACCCCGACGGGGGAGTGGTTGTGATGGGCGTGTGCGCAGCCCCTGCCCTGGGCCCTTGGGTGGCTGTGACTCGGGGGAAGGCTGAGATGGGGCAGAAGCTGTGGGCCCGGGCCCCTCTGGTTCTGCTCCTCATCACCCACAATCCCTCGTCCACACGGTCTCAGATCTCAAGCTGACTGAGCGCCCATACATTCTCTTTCTATCTTTAGAGATCATGAGAAGGATCTGGGCTCCTGGAAATAGAAGGTTCCGGAACCAGTGGCACCGAGTGAGAATAAACGGCGATTATGAGTAACAGCCTGAGGTAAGGCAGCGCAGTTAAAAATGTGTCCAGGAACTGCAGCTTCAGCCTCCACCGCCTCCCCCTGCTCTCGCCCGCCCGCCCGCCCGGCCGCGCCTCCGCCAGCCCTGCCCTGGGCCCGCGCGGCTTTGCACCTGCTGTCGTGGATGCGAGCGGCCTCTCTGCTCGAGGAGCAGCCAGACTAACACCAAGCAAACCCAGCAGCCTCGGCGCCACCAGCGCGCCTCCACCTCCACCCCCACCCCCGTGCCCACGCCCAGGCGCCCCTGCCGGCGCCCCCCCCGCGCCCCTCCCGCTTCCCCCTGCCCATTCCTGTTCCTGCTCAGTTGTGGCCCCCAGCTGCTGCCCTTCCTCCCCTCCCAGTCACTCTTCTGCTTTCTGCAGACAGATTCAAGCCTGTGAGTCGGATCTGCTGCTCTTTCTGACCCATACATGCGGCGAGCCATTTGCATCGCCTCTTCCTCCCTCATTTTCTGGATTCCTTTGTTGTCTCTGCTGTTGCTGGACTTTGTCACCATGTGCATTTATCCCCAATGATTCTGCGCACTATCGCTGCACCCAGGTCCTCCTGTCCGCTGCCCACTGGGTACGGTCGCTAGGGGTACCCTGACGGCTCCAAACTCCCCTGGCTCTTCTCCAGCTGCCTCTCTCCCTTTCTTACCTGATTTGCTTGAGCTCCAAATTCTAGAGCATCGTGGCTCTTCCTGGCCATCATCTCCCGACAGCCGCCAGGGCCAGTCTTGCTGAGATGCCCACACACCCCTGGCCTGGCCCCCCCCGCCTCATTCCCACTTGCCTCAGTGGTGACCCCATCTGCTCTGCTCTGCTGTCGGCTGGGTCTGCAGTCACACTGGCACTCTCACCCAAGCCCTTGGTCTCACTCACTTGGGGGGCAAAGACCCCGAGGCAGGCGGAAGAACAGCTCATAAGCCCCAGAACTGAGGAAGATCGAGCCGGTTTGCCAGACCCACAATGCACCGAGCGTCCTTGAGCCTCACGGGCGTCTCAGCCCCCCGCTGCTAGGCCCGGAGCCAAGGGCACCCTGTATTTTTAAAGACTCCCAAGTACTGGCGGACCGCATGAGGGTGCCGTTCTAGCTGGGGGTTCAGTGTGTTTTCATTTTACACACACACAAGTTAATAATGAAAGGTGAACCTCCATAGATTTCAGTTTGGGTAGTGCTAGGCGCCCCAGGATCTAGCCCTGGCCCCCCATGTGGTCCACAAAGTCTTCAGGGGATGGCTCGGATCCCGCCTGCCCCCCGCCTGCCAGCCCTTCAGCGCCCCCAGTGCTCAAGGGCCGCCTGGACCCTCTCTGCTCACGTCGCTTCCTGGGGGGCTCTGCCCTGAGCCGCTCCCCACGCCCACAGTGCCTTCTTTGTGACTCTCGTCACAGGCACTGCCCCCAAACACAGGGCTGGGGGCTTCCTTTGCCATTGTCCTCATGCCCAGCACAGGGCTGGCACACAGTTGGCATTCACTCATGCGTGAATGGATGACAGACTCTCACTTTGGGGTCTTGAATTGTGTAATCCAAACCAAAAACCAAAACCCAGCTAAGCATAGTTTAATTAACTTTCAACACGGGGATTCAAAAGAATTCTGTTTGCTAAAAGAGAAGGAAATTTCAGCAACAAGGCACTCGTGGATGGAAGCTGGAAGTGGTAGATTCTCCTCCGACCGACGGGCACCCTGAAAGTGGAAGTCAACTTCAGAGTGAGGTCCCGGAGCCGTCACCGTGGGGCTCGTCACTTACCTTTTCTAAAAATCGATTTAGATCATTTATCTTTGCTCTACTGAGCAAAGAGGGGAAGTAGAGCTCTCCGCGGATTTGCTGTGCTCCATACGGTTCTACCAGGCACGTGCACACACATCCGGCACAATACGCGTTCACGGTCTGATTCTGTGAGATCGGTCGCTTGGAAAAGTCTCTTTAAAGGCAACACAGGCAGAAGACCAGGGCCTTGGCCTGGCCCTGGCCCCCCAGCAGGAGGCTCTGTGTGGGCACACTTCCCGGGATCACAAACGAGGCGGGGAGGACCAGCACGGGAGGCCGGCGGAGGCCAGCCCCCAGACTGGCCAGCCGCTGCTTAGAAGCTTCAGGGCAGCAATTCACTCCTCACCCCGGGCTCAGGTGCTCCCCAGGCTTCTGGTTACTTGTTTCAGCTCCTCCTGCATCAGGAACTAAGGATGCGTGGCCTTGTCCTCCTCCAGGACTGCTCTAGCTTAATACTAAGCGACCCCTCGCTGCCTGCTGAATATCAGGAGCCAAACCTTGGTCTAGAGCACAGTGTCGACTGAGCAGAGTCAGGGCGGCTGTTTTCAATGACGGTGACTGGCCCCATGGGGAGCCCTCGAGGGAGCTCGGGCGCCTCAGCGCCTGCCTGTGTGCGAGGATAAGACAGTGACAGGTGTTGGAGTGACTTAGCCAGCCTTGCGCTGGGCCCTTTCCGGAGGCTGGAAGGTCATTTCAGTGGTAGGAGGGGGCATAGCGGGACGGGAAACGCTTAGCCCGGGCCCCATCCTCCTCTTCTTTTCCTTTTTTAAGCAGCAAATGCACTGGAAGAAACAGAAGATCCGGTGAAGGAAGACGCTTGGCAGGTTGCGTCATTTTTCATCTGACCAGTTCCAGTCCAGAATAAATGTGCTGTTTTTCCTTTCACTCGTGCTGTGACTTTTTTTTTTTTAAACTAGGAAAGACGATCAGAATCTGAGATGAGAAGCTCATGGCAGGAGGTGTTTGGTGTTAGCTTATGGAGCTGGGAGTTGAGGACTCCCAGGGTGGCCGTATTTAGCTTAATAAATGTGTGTTTTACAGCAGTATGCCAAGGTTGTAAACTGCTTGTTCCTAAACACACAAGCAGCCCCAGCCAGCTCAGTGGCAAAGGAGTGTTTTTCCTTTTGTGGGTAATTTAATTTTTGAGCACTCCCCTCCCTGCCACCGATACGCCTTCTCAACTGCTTTTCCTTCAGTCTTTAACCCAGGAACCAACAGCAGAGTCAGGTTTCTGTGAAGGCCGCTGTCACCAGGGAAGGATTGTGGTATGCGTCCCCAAGTTACTCACTTAGAAATGCACCCCTTGGGGGCCACCCCTGGACCCACGTCTTTCTGCCTCCCCCCTGCTAAGGGCTGATCAGAGTCGGAGGCTGTGAGACTCCCCAGGCTGGATGGGGACTCTCACCAGCAAGATGAAGCCATCTCCTGGCGAAGCCCCCAGGAGCCCCTAGAATGCTTCCGGAGTCCCTGTGACAAGGGGGTTGGTCGCTGCCACCCAGACGTACCGTGCATGTCCCTTCCTGCTCCACAGAACTGCTCTGTGTGGGCACCTTGTTGTCTGGCAAGGTCAGTCCTGACCTCACCCCCAATGGTCTGTATTCCAGGCCTTTCTGGGATATTCTCATATTGTTTATTTTGTTATGACTTTAAAATCAGTTTGTCAAGTTGTGAAGAAAAGTGATGATTAACTTTTTAAGAACTATCTTATATGTATAGATTCATCCAGAAAAAAACGGGTATCTTTAGATTTTTTGAATTTTGCACTACAAAAATAAGACACAAGTCCCGTTTACTGAAGTCTTCTTTTATCTCCCTTACCAGAGTTTAAGAGGTTTGTGTGTGTGCTGCAATATCTTCTGTTGTTATAAGTGAGCTTCTTTCTTATGAAACTTGCAGAAGTGACTAACATAGATGAGGCTTTTGGCTAGTACTTGAACTGAATTCTCATATCATTTTTAATAGGTTTTCAGTTCATATTCTAGAGTGTTCTATGTTGCAGATACGATTGTTTTTGACTTTCGTTTTACAAATGTCACTTCCTGCTCTTTCCCATTTTCCCACGGGACCAGTGGCCACACAGCGTCCTTTCACCCCGCACACTGACAGTGTTCGAGTGTTCTCACGTCTCTCCACGAGGCACAGTGGTGGCTTCTGGCTTGGCGTGGGGTGTCTATATTCTTAGTCATATTAAGGTTGGGGCTCTCTGTCCACTGCTGAGACTTTATAAGATAAATCTGTATTCAACGTGTCACGTCTTTTAAAACTTGTCTTTTTTGAATTTGAATTTTGCAACTTTTCTTTCGTCTTTGCTAGTGAGTTATGTTAATATAGTGCTTCTACTGAGCCATCTTTGCATCCCTGGAATGATTCCATTGAGCCCTGATTTATTTACAATCCTTTGAGTATGCCGCCAAAATTCTGGCTGCTACTGTTTTATTTTACATGTTTGTATCAACATTCATAAGTGAAAGTGATCCGTGCTTTATTTTTGTGTTGCTTTTTCTGGGTTTGGTATCGACGTCACATACCTTCTTCAATCTTTATCCTCTGTCCAAGGCGCCTCCCCCAGCCCACCCACTTCCCAGACACTGGTCTGACAAAAGATCTCACTCCTGAATATCTGGGGGCGGGCGGGGGGCGCAGGTGTGAGGCCTTCAGCGGATCAAAAGGAATATTCCATGCACAGAAAGTAATGTATACGTTTCTGTAACCGACCGATCTGCCAGTCATTGCCTTTCGCAAGCATTTTGCCACCCCATTCTCCCACCTTCTGCTGGAGGGAGACCCCAGGCCAGCAGTACTCCAGCCTTGCTTAGCGGCATCGCGGCCCTGGACTGGGAAGCTGCCGAACTCGGTGTCCAGCAGGGACCTGCTGATGTGCGTGGGGCTGCGGGAGCCAGTGTCCTCTTGGGCACGGTGTCCAGGCACTGCCCCGTCCGTGCGTCCCCCAAACCCTGCTCTTCCTGGGCTATTCACTGATCAGCACCCTTTGTAGAGAAAATGGAGGCTGTCGGCAGGAAAGAAGTCTGACCCCACAACGCCGTCCTACAGCCAGGTCTGTCCCTAAGGACAAACAAGATCAGATCCTTTCAGGCCAGAATTCAGGTGAGTGATTTTCTGTTAAACAAAGAGCCCCTGTCTTTCCTGTGAATGGTGCATACCTGTCCCCCACCCCCTCCCAGCTCCTACCTCCACAGAAATCTGGGTACAAACAGCCGTAAACCGGCCTCTCGGTAGAGTGCCGCCTCGCTCCGAGGTTTACCGTGCAACAAGCTGGCCTCCTTCCCGGGCAGGTGGGGCGGAGCCAAGCTTCTGGAGTCACATTGGCACAGTGGAATCACCAGTGTCCACGAGCATAACGATGCTGCCTTTGGGGGGCTCCCCTGAGCGTGACGCCCCAGCAGAGATGTGCTGACCTGCCCGGCCTCTTCCCAGCATGGGTGAAAAATTTCCCGGAGGTCAAATATCTAATGTTCTTCCTCGTTTTCCATCCTGCAGTGTCTGAGGCTTCCTGCGCAGGTGGCTGAGGCAGGGAGCTGCAGTCCGCGCGCACCTTTGGGGCACACAGGTGAAGGTCCGCAGCCCCCCGTTGGGGCCACTTCTTCAGGGCCTTCTGTCTCTCGCTGTTTCCCTTTCCAGGTTGTGGCAGAGACTGCACTGGGATGGTGGGGTAAACTGCTGGATTCAGGGTGTGGATTCTGGTTTCCTCAGTGACTCCGGGGCCGGGGTGAGCCTGGGGGGAGCGGGGAGGGCCAGGCAGGTGCACCCTCCCGGGGGGTCTCCTACCTGCATGTCGGGCCGGCCCTCCTGCGCACGAGTGGGACCTGAGGACATGGCGGGAAACTCCTGCAAGGCGGAGCTGGTTCCCACGGTCCCGTCTGCTCCTGTGTGGACAAGAAGCCAGAACAGCAACTCCGAGCACCCGCCGCTGGCCTGGGGGTTTAGGTTCGTTTATAAACTACTCAGAGAAGAGTCAGCTGGCAGCGCGCTCTCTGCTGGGAGATCCAAGCTCAGGTTTCTGGAGAAGGCTCAGCCCGACGGGCTCAGCCTCCCTGAACTGCCTCTTTGTCCCTCCGGCTCCTGTGCTGACCCATCTCCTTCCCTGGCCGTGATGTGGCCAGTGCTTCAGCCACCCAAAAAGGCCGGGCTGCGGGCGCCTGTCCTGCCTGTGAGAGGAGCTCGTGTGTGCGGCTGGCATGCTGGGGCGGGCGTGCAGGCGTGGTGACGAGTGTGCACAGAGCCCGATGGCCAGAGGTGTGGAGCACTGAGCGAGGCTGTAGCTGCAGCGTGTGGGGGACCAGGTGTGGCGGGCATGGGAGGGCCTTGGGGTGCAAGGGTCTAGGAGGCGGCTGGACTCAGCCTGGGGGTGACTGGGGAGGCGTGTCCAGGGTGGCCAGTGCGGCACGGCCTACACCTCTGGTTTCCCCAGCTGCTCCCAGGGCCAGGGGTCTGCCGGTGGGGTCCTGGTGAGGGGCCAGCAGCTGTTGCTATGGTGACCGCTGTCGCTGCTGATGCAAGCAGCACTTGAAGGTTCTAAATGGCGTCCTGCAGCGAGCCAGGCCTGGTCCACATTCCCTGGTCAGCAGAAGTCACCTCCACAACAGCAGAGGCCCCCATGGCTAGACCCGCATGCTGCTGCTGTCCTGACCCCACCCACCAGCTCGCCCCCAAAGGAACAGACCCCACTCAGGACGCGGGAAGCCCCTAGACCCATTAGATTGGCATGGACCAGCTAGGGGTGGATGGGAGAAGCCACAGAGCTGGGACCCTCAGGTTTCCCAGCCTCAGGCTTGACCTTGGAGATCTGTCAAAAGCCCACCCCCTCTGTCCTCACTCCCCCTTTTAAAAATAATTACTGAGTTAATTTGCTTACATCGTGTTCCGTTTCTGGACGATGCTTGATTTCTCCCTCTGGCGCGGTATGACCGTCTCCCACCCCGCTGCACTGGGCGTGGCCATCGGCCTATGCCCCTTGGACTCCACCGTGGTCTCCACCCTGGCCCCACCGGGCCTGGCCGGCAGCCTCTCCCCGCCCAGCTCAGGCTGAGGCACCCCTGTGTTCCCCTGGTGGGTAGGGGCCTGGCTGGGCGAGCCCAGTGTCCAGCGGACCCACACTCCTTGGGCCGAGGACGGCTGGCCGCGTCCCGTGAGCCACACGAGGTCCCGGGCTGGTACTGGTTCGGTTTCAAGTGGGTTTGCCAATGGGCCGAGGCCAGTCGGCCCCGCCCCCGCCTACCCTTGGCTTTTTTGTTCTGTTTGGGCTTCCCCTACGGTAGCTCAAATGTGCCTGCTGATGAACCTGACCACCCAGGGTGGCTCATGGGCAGCATTTGCGGCCGCTGCTGTACTCACTGTCCGGTCCTGCGGTCCGCACGGGGCTGGTGTCCGACTCTCCCGCCATGGGAGCCCGGGCGCGCCTGCATGGGGCAGACCCGGGGCGGGCGGGCATCTGTAACTGTGTTCGTTGCCAGAGCACAAACTCGGGGCGTGAAGCCACACGGATGTCCCAGCCACTGTTCCGAGGCCAGAGGTGCGAGTGGGGTTCGTCACCGCGGCAGGCCTGGGCCTGGGATCCGCCCCTTGCCTTTCCGGCGCTGGCTGCTCGGCTCCTGCGAGGCGGAATGCTCGCTGAGGCGCCGCCTCTGTCCTCACCTGCCCGCTCCCCCACCCACCTGCCCCCCATTTACGAGGAACCCCGCGGCGTCGCAGGGCCCGCCCAGACACTCACGCTGACTCCAGCTCAAGATCTTTGACTCGCAGTGTCTTCGGAGTCCCTTGCACCCCGTGAGCCCAGGTGC